ATGTGGACACTATTCTCCACTACATCTAAAGTAAAATTGCACAACTTAAAGCTCTCTTATTAGAGCTCCAAAAGATCTACTAGGATAAGCCTTTCTCTTATAAACTACAATGAGTCTTATTTCAAGATCTGCAGATATTATTTTGTGATTCTTTTCAGTTACCACACACAGCTTCATCATCATTATCCTTGAGAAAATGTCAAAACCGTTTAAGAATTGAATAATTAATAAATAAAACCATGACAAGTCCATTTCAGACACATCCAAAATATTAGTTTCCTACATTTGCATATTAGAATATTGCAGCCTTTGCAATATTTTGGAACTGCAGCCTCAGAGGCAGATCTGTCCTATAAGTGGACAAACATCTTTCCCATTAACTCTGAATAATTACTCTGGAAAAACCAACACTTATTAATATTGCAAAATGAGTTGCGTGACGAGCTTCCTCTTGGGGCTCATTAAATTTTCATGAAGTCAAAGCCACTGTGATAACGTAAGGACAGGCCCCCTTTTATACTGTATTTATGTGGTATAATATTTTAAGTGTCTGACTTTAAAAGTTTATTTCTCTAAGTTATTTCTTCATGTCAAAAGCAGATTCATTGCCTCTGATATCAGGCCAGTTGACTTCATTTTCCCTCTCGGCATGCAGGCTTCTTAAGTCTATAGATGGAGAGACACAAGTAAACAAGCAACATGATGAGACTATTAAATAACTCACTGTCACATTATCTGACCAGAGAGACAGTCGAGGCTCGGTGCATCACAATGCCAGAGCTGACCCAAATACAAAAGAGCTTTTTCTACAGACATGTAAACAGATAACAAATCTGCAAAGGATTAACATTTGTGGCAGTTTATCCTAATGTACCATTAAAATAAAAAAGTAGATACAGTACATGAATAGATAGATGACAAATGTTTCTGTATTTTTTCACATGAAACTGAACTATTCCAGCCAACTGTAAGAATCTTGTTTTTACCAGATTTCAGTCATGGAAGGAAACTCTGCATGAAGCTTTATCAAGTCATTTTTCATGATGGCAGTGAGTTCCTTGGCGGTCATAAGTCCCAGATTGTTGCCACCAGCATGGACAACCAAAATGTCTGGAGCACATTGTTTGGAAATCTCGGCGTAAAAACGAGGAAGGACACCCTTCCAGCCCATTCCTCCTTTCCCAAACCACTCAACAATGGCAGGGAGTCTGAAATTCTCCCCAAACATTTCAGTCACAGCTTTTCTCCCGCGTTGAATGTAACTAGACCCAATTATCCAGATCTTAGGTACTGTTATCTTTCCAGTTGTACTCTTTTCAGTGGTTGTGAGGTGTGGTTACTTGTGGATCCTAAGGCCCTCCATTGTCTTTTCTTGCAACCAGTCTGAGTCACAGTTGAAGGATCCTCATTAGGGGTGCTTGGAAGCTTGGTCTTTTCTTGCTTTGCATCTCGGGTCAGAGTGAACCTCTTTTTTTCTGGAGAAGAGGTCTCTGGGATTTCTTTGGTGCCTTCGGAAATGTCTTCGTAGGGTCTTTTTCTGAGAAATCTTCCTTCAAGGATCTCTATCTTTTTCCTTTTTGGGGAGATGCTTTCTTTGCCTTTGTTGCATTTCTGCAAAATCTCATCAAAGGTACTCTTTTTCTTATTCAGTGGCTCAGTGTGGTCCAAGCTGGAGTCATCCTCCTCAGAGACTGACAGCTGATGTAGACTTTGTTGTAGACTTTGAGCTGGAGAGCTGGGCCTGATGATAGGCTGATCATCTGGCACTGGCAGCTGCTCTGAGTTGTCTTTCACAGATTCAGCGTCAACTAAACTGGGTTTGTTCTCTTCCAAAACTGGCCATTGGTCTTGTGGACTTAGAGACCTTGAGTTGGATTTGGAGGATGAGCTACCACTCTCAGACACAGCCTCCCTCTGCTCAGAGCTTGAACAAAAGTCCACCTGATGGCTCACCGTAAAGAAAGGATGTCCCAACATCTCGCTAGGTGTTATTCTCTGACATGGATCCAACTGAAGCATCTGCTTTACCAGGTCCACAATGTGCTCCTGATCAGCCTTGGGATCTGCTTTTGACAGCAGCCTCCCTGGTATCTGCTGGATTTGCTTGAGGTCATCAAGGGAGCTGAACATGCAATCGATCCATGGCAAGCATCCATACTCATCTGGTGTCTTTAATTTCCAAATGTTCGGCCACGTCATGCTGTAAAACTGGCTCGTTTTGAGTCCAGCATTGATGATGTCCCCTGGCAGCTGGCCTTGAGTTTGGGTTATGAACCAGAGCATCTCATAGTCACTGCATCCAGGGTAAAGCACGTGGCCAAGGAGGAGCTCGACAGCTATGCTGCCAAGGGCCCACATATCTGTCGCCTCGTTACAGGGCAGACCTAGCATGGTCTCTGGAGCCCTGTAGAACTTCGGCTGTATACATGGACCCTGCTCTCCTTTTGAGACCTCACAGGCTGCACCAAAGCCGATCACTTTGACCGTTAATTGCTGTTGAACCCAATCAACCAACATGATGTTCTCAGGATTGAGACGGGTATGAGCAATTCCCAAGTTCTTCAGAAGTTGAAGAGTTGTGGCCACTTGAAACAGGATATGCCGGATCTCTTTTAGTGAAAAAGAAGGGTTCGGTCTCCTGTTAATGTAGTCCTTGAGACTGATGTCCAGCAGTTCAAACTCCTGACACAGGTGTCCTTTGTAGATGAAGGAGCTGTCCCACTTTACAAAGTGCCAGGTGTCAGGATCGAAGGCTCGCAGCTTTTGAAGCGTGCCGTCCTGCTTTTCTTCCTCAGACTCAATCTTTGTCATCTTTACAGCTACCTTCTCCTTGGTTGATGTCTTCACACACTTCGCAACCCTTGCAAAGGAGCCTTTACTGATAAGCTTCTCAACAATGTAGTTTAAAGACATCGAGGAAAGCTGGCTGCCTCGGATGACTTGGAGGTCCATGTCTGAATAGACTCAGACACTTTTTGCTGTAGAAACCTTCTGCTTATAAATCAAAGCTTGGGTTCAGCGAAATTCTTCCAAAGTTTTTAAATTTAAAACCACCAGAAATGCCAACCAATAATCGTGGACTTGTATCTGCTCAAGCAAGAGAAGAGTGAGCTCTACTTTGATTTGAGGAGAGATATCTGACTGGAATGTTGCTTTTTGTGAGGTGTATCAGAATATTCTCAGTTGTTACATCAGCTCATTCTATGGGATCCTCAGGTCGTCATGGTGACACGCCAGCCTGAAAGAAAACAGCTTTATAAGAATTTAAATGAGAAAAACAGATATTTAATATTTTAATGTTTGTCTATAAAAACGTCCAAAACAATCAAAATCATAGTTCACTTAAAATGTGTAATGTTTAAAGCCTCTGGAGACTCATATCCACAAAAAGCTTCTAACTATGTCATTTATAATCTGATGTTTAGAATATCAGTTATCTTAAAATATAAGGAATAACTGTTCAACCATTTAAGTTTCTGAAAACTTTCCGATACTGGGTATGAAGTGGGTGGGATGTTTTTGAGATTTGTTTTTTAATAAACCATTAATAAAAATACACACATGTCCCGGCCTAATCAAGTGCGACAAAACTGCTCTGTCTGCCTTCATGAGTCTGAGCCTTAGCTGGCTAACTACGTCCTGCCTGTTTTGCTTTGTCCAGACCAAGTAACCCACATCACAGATGTTAAAGTTGCCTTAAAACTACAGAAAACCAGGTTGAGTGTATCAAAACAAACAAAATGGACCTCTTCAGACCTTTCACTGTGACTGAAAACATTTCCAAGATTACTCGACAAAAAGGTTTCCCGGGGGGGACGTGTGTCTTCCGGCCGAGTAGTTTTATATTTAGACATTATTTGCAGACAGCTTATTCTCTGGTGGACCTCCATGATGACACCAGCTGTGGTTTTTCTAGAAGATTTACGAAGCAGCTGGGAAACCTCCGTGTTATGTAACTGAATTCAAATGAGGAGGTGCCAGAGCTACCAGCCATTCGGCGACAGTCGGTAAACATCTGCTCCTCTTTGGTACCCTCGAGCCAGGCATTGGATTCTTACCAGCTTTTAGCACTTCTAATAAGTCAAGCGTAAAGTGTTGCAGTGTTTGTGTTGTCAGATTGCCAGAAGAACACTCTAATCACGCACTTTCGTAGATAATTTAATACATATACAGTATATTTACGTTCTTAGCTCATTTAATCATGGACATGTCTTAAAGGTTTTTAATGAAGTGTTTTTTTGTGATGATCTGAGATTTTAACCCCTTGAATCATGAAAACCATAAACGACACACATCAACTTGATTACTTTAGTTTCAGACTTATTACTTATCTACATTTTCAAATGTTGTCTCTTTTATTCAGACAGTGTTTAGACTGAAATTATTATTTTGACTTCAGACATCCATCCATTATCTATACTGCTTTTCCCGTTTGGGGTCGCAGAGGACTGTACTATTCACCAGTCGATCACAGGGGTGACATATAGAGACAGACACACTCACACTCACATTTACACCTACGGATAATTTTAGAGTCACCAATTAACTTAATGAGCATGTCTTTGGACTGTGGGAGGAAGCCTTCACAGACCGAAGACAGAGAACATGCAAACTCCACACAGGGGGTCCTGTCCGACGGGTATTCAAACCAGGAACTTACAGAACTAACAGCTAAACGGTGGTTCATATTTATTTCTTGTACAGTCTTTAAAAGAGTTCAATAAGAAGTTGGTCTTTTCTTTTTCTCCTCACTATTGTAAATTGGGGTCTAAAAGAAATCGGACCTCGGTCTTGAATCCACTTAATTTTTTTTTTTAAAAGAGCTGCATTCTCTCCACGAGCTCACAGAAGGTGAGAAACAAGTCATGCAGAAAAAAAGCATGAAATGGGGTTTTACATTTAATTCTAACTGGCATCAAATAGGTCTTAAAGAAGGGGCTTAAATTGCAGTCTCACGGCGGATACAAGGACGAATGAGTGTCGTAAATGTCTCCCTGCAGGAGCTGCAGTTTGAGCGGCTGACTCGGGAGCTGGAGGAGGAGCGGCAGATTGTGGCCAGCCAGCTGGAGAGGTGCATGCTGGGAGCTGAGTCGCCAGGAGGAGATAGTAGCAGGTAGATTTGAAGTCTTGATACTCACTCACTACTCACTGTTTTATCTCATTTGTTTGCAAAGAAAGAGAAACAAACGCTGATATTCAGTGAGGTTTCTTTGTTGTTCTGACATTTGTGTTGACAGTGTTGTTGTTATTTAGCTCAAAGTTATTGCCTTCAAAAGGGTTTGAAACCAAAAACGCCTCGAGCACATTTGAAAGAAGAGATTAAACAGTGATTCTGTGCTCTGACGTAAACTACAAACAGTTAGCATTCCCAACAGACTAGCTCAATAACATTATTTTAAAGCTAACTTAGTTTAACTTCTAACACCAAGAAACTCTTCATACAAGCTTCAGTTAGAGGTCGGATGTTTTTTGACAAGACAACAGTCACATTGTATTTCCACTTTTTGGAAGATGCTTTTACAGTGGTCTTGTTTTTATACAATTTTGGTGGGAATATAGGAAAGTATGTGTTTGTGCGTGTGTTTGCATACCTCTTGGGGGTGCAGCGGTGTCCTTTGATATGAAAAACTAAAAATGTGTGTTTGTGTGATTGAAAGAGAGAAACTGAAACACAACACACAACATTATGTTCACAACACTTGCATACACACAAGGTTATACAACATCCGATCCCCAGCTGAGGTCAAATTACTTCAGTTTATTTGATCAATTTGAAGAGAAAATGGAAATTCACACAAAAGCATCTGAGGCTTTCTTTGTCCTTGAACTCTTATTTTGCAGATTGAATGTGAAAGGATCATTTAAAGGCAAATATTTCAGAGATATTTATATTTCAGTTTCACATTTCAAACACTTTCCTTCTACCTCTTCCTGGACTGATTGAATCTAAAGCATAGCATTGTGCCTCTGATTTGATTTATGTCTCTCTCTCCATTTCCTCCTCCTCCTCTTCTCTTCTGCTGAAGCTCGTCTGAGAAGTCGTTTGCATGGAGAACTGCAGGTAGGATGTCTTATTTTTCTACCTTTAACTTTATTTGTTGTAAAGCTATTTTTTAGAATAAGGTGACAAGAGAATTGGAGTTTTAAAACCAGAAGTGAAAATATGAAGTTTTAACATCTTAAAGTAAAGGTTTTGCAGCTCTAATGCACAGGACTGTGGCGTTAAAGGAGACATTTTCCAGATGTATAAAGTCAGTTTAGCCTCCAAAGAGGCTGAAAATTGCCTGCAAGCAGCACAGGCCGCTGAAGCAAAACAAAACAATGTTTCCGTTGGAGTATATGGGCTCTGAAATGGAGCCATTTACTATTCTGTCACAGATCCCTCTGCTCCGTTTCCTGGTTCATTCCTCACTGTCGGTTTTCCAATAAAGAAAACGTACGGCTATAAAATGTTTCATTCTTTTCCGCCAATGAATCGACACTTTTAGTCTCGTAGATTAGGGAGATTCTGTCTGCTGGACGGTGATGCTGGACGATTGTGTTCACTCAGACTTCACTATTTGTTTTATATCATGTGTTGAAATAATAATCCACTTTTGACACAAAGATGTTAGACAAACCGTCAGTCGAGGACTTGATGTGTAATTTGAATTTAACAGCTGATTGTTTCTGCAGGTGGAGATTTGCAGGGCGGAGCCATGGAGGCGTCCGGTCGTCACCTGGAGGCGGAGGAGGGACTCTTCATGCCTGAACCGGACCGCGCCTCCCTGCATGACAGTGAGGGTCTGTTAAATTTACACACCACACGGTCTGAGGAACATTATAGCAGAATGTAAAGGAGAAGAGCTTGATGCTTTCTGAGATACTTGTTTGTTTTTGAATCACCTTTATAACGAGGTTATCTTTTAAACTCCAGTTTAATAAGATAGATGTTTCTGTTCTTGCTTTATTTCTCACCATGTTTATATTTTTGAGTTGACTTGAGTACCATGATTGGTCTCATACAGGCAGGAGTTTTTCATTTGATTGCTTTCTTTTTGACTTCATTAAATCAAAAGTTACTGGGGACTTCTTCTCTTACTTAAAAGTAGTCCAAACCCCTGGTCTCACATCCAAACTGTGTCTCTTTAACATGAAATATAAATGACTAAAAAGTCCTTGAAGAAGTGAGAGGAAAAAGAACATGCTTAGTTATAATTTATTAAGAGCTTGATGCTTAAAAATTCAGCTCATCTGCTTCATCAGGACTCCGGGATAACACAGAATTTGACTGACAACATAAGCAACTCAAAATCTGTGTACTACTTATAGGTGCATAATGTATGTGACATGGTTCTACCAGCAGAGATATGAGAACATGATGTATGTGACATGGTTCTACCAGCAGAGATATGAGAACATGATGTATGTGACATGGTTCTACCAGCAGAGATATGAGAACATGATGTATGTGACATGGTTATTCAATACAATTCAAAAAACTTTATTTGTCCCCGGGGGGCAATTCAAAGGCACACAGAGCAGTAAATTAACAACAGTGCAAGTAAACAAAACATTTTAACCTCAATATAAAGTGTCAATTTAAATACAACTTAAAGCTTAAACTTAACTTAAAAATACAAAATATAAAAGAGTAGAAAGAAGTGGACAGTGATCGGACGAACGGATGTAAACAGATGTAACCAGAACTATGTGCAGTAAACGAGAAATAAATATATATATACAGAACTATGTGCAGTAGTGACCAGATATAAACAGAACTATATGCAGTAAACAAGAAATAAATATATATATACAGAGCTATGTGCAAGTAATAAATATATATATACAGAGCTATGTGCAAGTAATAAATATATATATACAGAGCTATATACCAGCAGAGATATGAGAACATGATGTATGTGACATGGTCATACCAGCCAAACAGACGTAACATAGTGGAGACGATATATCAGACTTTGGAGAAATCCCCTTCTAAATGTATAAATGTTTACTGGTTGAATTGAAGTCATGATTTCCACATCAACACACTCAAACAAGTTATGATGCAAAGTGTGAGAAATGGGAACCTTCGTGACAAATCCCACAGATCTCACCTGTATTAAGGCTGCACTGGGAGGCTGAAATGCGTGTTTTTGTTCACACATGTTTTATTTATAATTAAAGGTAGACTAAGTCAAAATGTTCAGTGCAGCTTGTAAACACAACATTCAAACTGGGCCCCTGGACCCCTGGACCCCTAAGGCCGGAAGCACACGCCCTTTCGGTAAAAACATCAAGTCTGCCTCCACTCTGCTGCTTGAATCTTACTCTTGATTTCCTTTACCGCCTTGTCAGGAAAGTTTCACATATATTCACACCTGGGAGCTCTGCAGCACAACCACAGCCGGTCGCTGTTGGACATTAGGCATCTTCACTGGAGCGGGTGACATTTAGGTCCATCAAGCTCCCTCGCAGCTCGTGCTAAACCACAGAAGATGGGAGGCCGATAGAGCGGAGCGTTGATGCAGTCAGTGCAGCTGTGAATTCTGATGTGTGCAGGAGAGCTTCTATTTCATCTTTTTTTAAACAGAAAAGGGTTTTAAATGCTTTTAAAGGAAGTCAAAACTGCAGCTATTGTGTATCCAAAGAAGCCCAAACCAAACCCTGAAAGTTCTGATTACAATAAATTACAATATGATAAGTACACATAACTGCAGTGGAGCTGTTTGAAATTTTAAAAACAAACTTGCCTTTGGTCTTATTTATATTGCACACACTTGGAATGGACTGGTAGAGTAAAAATATCCCCCACACGCTCCCTCCTCTTCATCCAACAGGAGGTAAAAGTAGGCCAGCTTTATTGCAGCTCTCCGGTATATATATGCAGATTGTTCCAGAAGCAGCGTAAAGGCTTAATGCAGATATCTGCACGTCTGTATTTATATGCATAATGTCTTTTGGTTGAAGTTGAAAGCAGAGTGAGATAATATGCAAATCGATGAAACAGCAGCAGCTGATGTGACGGTTGTAATCCTCCCTCAAACTTTCACAAGGAGAATGAACATGTAATAATTCAGACTTAGTGTTTCCTCACCCTCTTGTGTCTCCGTCCTCGCAGGTTCTGGAGGTCTCTCGGCTCAGATGACCTCCTATTCAGACAGCGGCTACCAGGACAGCAGCGTTAGTTACTACAGCAACCAGAACGTGGTGCGTTCGGAGCCCCGAGCATCGATATCCAGGAGCCCGAGAGCTGAAGGTCAAGCCTCTGGGCAGGTAAGTCTGATCCCTAATGGGTCACCATCACAAGTATGGATTTGTTACTCTGCGAGAGATGTAGTACTCTTCACAAGTATAATGCTGCCTTCATGTGCTCATCAGAAATATAGTTTTTTTTTTTACCAAATTATGATGAGTTATGAGCACAAACAGCCCTAGCAAAGTCGTAAATACAAGCGTAAATATTTCACTTATTTTAAGCCACATTCACCTGAAGAGTCCAGACAAACATCTGATTCTACATGTTTTATGCAGGAATGAAGATTGAACTTGTGATTTATTCCTATCCAGCCTCACTGGGCGGTTTAGATGTCTTAATTTCCTCTGAGACGTTCGAGGCTCTGATAGATGAAGGCGGCACAGATCGGCTAACAGTTGGTCGACATTTTAACATTTAGTAATAAGGAGGAGAAATGAAATCTTTGTTGCCATAAATTAGAAACATCTTTTCAAGGGTCTGAAACATAATGTATTTACTCCCCACAGAGCGTGGCTTATGTTGAAATTAATTTCAACATTTATTCATTGGCACGCGCGTTCAGTTAGTCGCACAAATGAAGGAGATAATGGTGCTCTTCATCAGACGGGATGGAGCACCCTGCCTCCATGTGTCACATTACTGGTAATTTGGCGAGCATGTTTGCAAACTGCAGCAGTGTGAGGAGTCTCATTTTTAAACACAACTGAGTGAAATGGATTTCATGCTCAAATTCTTGTAGTTTTGATAAGGCTTTAACATAAACCCACGCTACCACACAAAGTGAAAGCTGTGTTTTCTATCTCGTGCTCGCTGCAGGTGTCTGGTCGGATGTTGCGCAGGATGGCCTCCCTCCCCTCCAGGAGTCAGTCTCCCGGTTGCGGCACTGCTGGCACTGTCTCGCCCTCCCGCATCTCCCTGCGAACATCCCAAGGCAGCAACTATGACTCGCCCATCCTCTCTGAGCCGAAACCTCTTCCCGCCATATTCCCCGGCACCTCCATGCCGCCGTCTTGCCCTTCGCCGACCTCCCCGACTGACGGCACGCAGGCCCTGGGCGGTGGTGGAGGAAATGGTGGACTAGGAGGAATTATAGGAGGAGGTCGTCTCGGCTCCACTCTCTCTCTGGTGGAGGGGCGGGGTTTGACGGGGTCACCGCTGCGTTCGGGGATGACGGCCGTCCCGCAGCACTACGGCTCCACGCTGCCGAGGCAGAGTCAGCCACTGGCGTACGGAGCAGATCCATACGGCCTATATCAGAGGAGCGCACTGCCCCGCCCGGACTCCCTCATAGGTCAGTCCGACACATCCACATGTAAAAAAACTGCTTTTCGTTCAGTCCAGGACACACCCAAACATGAAGGGCTCCTAAAAATGTGACATATAGAAAATCATGGCTGAAATAAGTCAGCTAAACTCTATATATGTATAAAGCTTTGTTTTATATCACACCTTCAAATCAGCCTGAGTGCTTCACATTTTAATAGACATAAAACAAACAAACACAAAGTTGCAACTCTACACGGCCTGCTCAGAACAGGCTGTTTCTGTGTCTGTAGCTTTAAATGAGCTGTGTCTGACCACGCCCCTCTGAGCATCTTGGGTGTCTCTGGCTTTTTTGCTCCATGCCCTATTGTTTACGGTGAGAAGGCAGACTTAGAGGGCAGAACAAACACCTAGCTGGGGGAGGGGTTACTGCCCTTTATGATGTCATGAAGGGAAAATCTCCAGATTTCCTGTTTAAGCACACATTTTCTGAAAAGTAGAGCAGACAGAAGACGGAGAGGATGGACTCACGATTGGAGGCTTTGTAGACAGACTAGAGACACATATTAGTGTAAGAGAATGTAAGGGAGACAAAAAGCTGGAGGAACAGACCCGGCTTGATGCACAGCGATGTTTGTATCATTACTAGTTCATTATATATTTATGCACTTATCCTTTAAATCCTGGACTTTGTCTGACCTGCCTGATAAAAAAACAAAAACAAAACGTGTTAGTCTTAAATCGAAAAAAAAAAGATCTAGAAGAGAGGCTTTGAATCAGTCTGACATACAATATCATAAACATGGATGTTGTGTGGAAGAGGAAGGATATGGACTCTATAACCATGTCAAATAAATTAAACTCTGTTTTAAAAGAAGCTGAGGTATTGCTTTGTCTCTCATACTTTCCTTTTTTTCAAGTGTTTTTGTCATCTGAGCTGCAAAACAAGAATCTTCTAGTGAATAGAAAAGGTAACAGTAGTCTCTGCAGCTTGTAATCAACAGTTGAGCTAATGTTTTGGAATCTTTAAAGATAGTTAATATCTGTAATTAGAAATATTCCTTAAAAAGGATGTATAAATGACAATGTTATAAGAAGGATACAAATGAATATCGGTGTAAAATCATTGAAATAACCCAAAAATGTCTGATTCATCCGACACTGCTTCACTAATCAAAGTCTTTTTAAATTATTTCTTTGTGCTGATAAAGTGTCGGTTAAAAAAACAAACCCACCACCATCTGCCCCTGGCTGCAGATTTGTGGTGCTGAGTTTTCACGTTGTGTCGCTCTGCAGCATCCAGACAACAGTCGGATTCCTTCAGAAGTTGTTTCTATATTTGTTGAGCTATTTTGCAGCTTAGAGACCATGTGCATGACTGAATGATCTTTACTTCTTTTCACTCAGGCCTTGTGCACATCCTGCTGCTGCTGCACAGTCAGGATCCAGAAGAGAAAATAATACTGAACAGTCCCACACAGTCAGTGCCCCCCAGTTGTTGTTTCACTGGTGTGATTAAGAAAGAGCCAAACGTCGGCTGTTACCAGCTGCGGATTGCACCAAAACAAACCAAATATTTCCTGATTTGTTCAGTCCTGCAGGCTTCATGGGAAGTAGATTAGATGCAGATTGAAATTCACACAGACAGATGCTGGTGTGGCTGCACCTTAAAGCTGCTTTGGAAGTCTATTTTTCTGAGCTGGCAGATGTTTGACACTGTAAGAAATTCAATTAGAGGAGCGCCTCAAGCAGAGGTCGCAAAAAGAAAAGTTCTGGAGTAACTCAAGTAGAAAGATGTGCTTAGTTTATGTTGTACATTTCTAAGATGAGTGTTTACATTTAACAAGGAGGTGTTGTTTTATACTAACACCATCTTTATTTAACGATGTCAATCATCAGAGCAGCAGAATCAGGAAAAGATGTGCTGCAACATCAAGTGCACTTTTTGTTTGAACCTTAAACAATTAAAACCCAACAGGTTTAACTTCTGTTCTTTGATCCCGCTGTCTTCTAAACCTTGAAAGTGAATAATATCTTTTCAACACCGTGAAAAATAAACCGACCTTCTTCACGTGTCTTGAGTTGTTGTACCAGACTGGAGGTTTTGATTATATGAGACACATTTAATGGCATAATTAAAGTATTAATATGGGCGTATTAAACATCCATGAGAGGATATTTTTGCTTGTAAAATTACACGCATGAACCTCTGGCGTCTTTACATCCTGCGTCCTTGACTTGTCTTTGTTTTTAGTAGTAGTGGCGTGGTTATATTCCTCACAGGCTAATGACTCCATGTTTTTAGCGCCTTGTATTCAACGCTCTGTTTAAGAAGTTAGAGGGGTCAGCGATCAAATCAAACCAGGTCAGAAATCAGACTCACTCTCGTCCAGTGTCTTGAACAAAGCTCTTTTCTGCAGAGCTTGTGGTGCGGATGCTCCTGCAGGAGATGGTCCGAGTGTGTGTGACAGAGTGTGTGTGTGTGTGTTTGTGCGTTTGCGTGTGTTTGTGGAATATTTGCTGCAGACCCTCCCCTTGTAAATAAACAAAGCCACGCTCCACAGCCTCGACAACCATTTCCTCTGTTGATTTAATAACCTTTCCTTTGTCCGGAGAAAGTTGACTGAGCAGCGCTGATTTAATATCGTGGCACACAACACATGCACTGTGCAGGATCTCTGCAGAGTTTCTGTATCTCTGAGAGGAATTATCAAACAATGCAGCATGTTGAACAGAAAGACTCTGAGGCAAAGTGCAAGCTCTGCAGGTGATTGTATCTCTGGGAGCTCATTTCATGCTGTTTTTACTCAAATTATCTTCCCACACTGCGAGATAATGCAGCCGGGTCTGATAACAGTGTATTTGATGCATGCCAGTATGAAAACTAAAGGAGTGCGATCTTTGAAGGAGGGGGTTTTAATCTCACTAGGTAGATGTGTTCAATGTATCCAGTGTGGGGATTGATCTGCAGCAGTTTAAAGCAGGAAAACGATCACGCTGCAGTTTGTAAAGAAACACATCTATAGAAGAAAAGACTCACAGCGTCATGCTTAGAGTCCTCTCTCCCTCATTGTTTAGAGAACTGATGCACAGGAGAACAAACCGTGTTAGTATCAACCGGTCCGGATGTGCAGCGGTCGATGGGAGCAGAAGAAAGCAGCGGGTGGATACAGTCCAGTGTTTCCTCTGAATCTTTACTCCACAGATGCTGGCCTGTTTGGAAATTGGAACACGTGCAGAAAATGCTTTGTTAATGGACTTAAGGAGGCAAAGCAGTCTAATTTTAGATCAGTGTTGGGCCACCTTCTGCAGAAATAAGGATCCTTAATAGCTTGGATAAATGCACTCTTGAGCTAAAGCAAAGAGGGATTCACAATGGAGGCAACATTACATATAAACTATCTCTCTATTTCATAATAAAACTATGTTTACTCTAGCTTTAGTGATGGGGCCCGAGATAAACACTACACTACACACGTTATTATCTGACCTGATGGAGGTCTTGGGTTTCATTCTTACTTTCAAAGCTAACTTAAAGATACTCAGCTCTGATTTCTGATGGTTTGAATGAATGTGTGATGTGTCACTTTTCGTCTACAGACGACATGTTGTTAGATCACTGAAGGCATAAAAAATCACACTAACATGGATCATCTGGTAAAACTATTGGCAACTATCTAAGTGGATATCTACTTGTTTTTACTTCAGCAATAACTGCTCTTCCTGTGAAAATATATAAAGACTGAAAAAATTCTGAAAAAAAGTTAAATGTTTGTTTATATAATTTCAGAGTAATGCTATCGGCCTGTCTTAATAAAAACAACACGTTTCTGGAGGCTGTTTTTAAAACAACAAACTCTTAATGAGGTTTGGCAGAACGGTGTCTTTGAGCTCTGTATGTTTCGTCTTCTGTTGCAAAGAAAATATTCTGTCTCTGAAATGTGCGTCTTATTTTGCGGTCTTTTACATTTAATTTAAAGGATTTCCCAAACTTGAGAAGATGCTGCTGCTGATATTTGATTTGAGTGAACACAGCTGAGGCTTCATGAGATACTTTGGGGATTATTAGTGCCAGGCTGCTTATTGAGTGTGGCTTACTGACGCCTGTGAGGAGCACACCCAAACAAACATCTGGTAGCTTGGAACCAGATGTATTCATCATTGCCATCAGGATCTTTGGGATGTTAACAGACGTTTTGTTTTGTCGTCTGCATAAACGTCAGAACAATTAAAAAGCCCAATATGCTGCAGCCCATCCTTTGGTATGACCTGGTCATGGACATCCTTCTCCCTTCACTCTGCTGTGTTGCAGGATTTACTGCTGAAGTGCTGCTGATGCTGCAGCGACACAGATTTTTTCCTCCCTCCTGCCCTCTGTCACTTTACTAAGCCGTTCCCACTGACCCATATAGGCGTGTTTCTATCACAAAGCCCCTCGGAGCATCAGCATGTGATTATCAGCTGACGGCTCTGGAAGGCTTTATTATGCTGCGATCAGTGTGTGTCCGCTTTAATTCAGTCCATTTGGACGGGATGTGTGGGTGCTTGTGTGTAGCTGCGTCCTGCTCCTGCATGAATGTGTCTTTGTGCATGTGCATGCACATTTCTGCACCTTTTGTGATGTGATTTGTTGTGTTTGTGCATGTGTGAAAAGAGGATGTTAGAAGGATGGGCCGTGTGTAGGAGGCAGAGTCAGTGAACTAAACCAAATGCGTCCTATTCTCTAGCTGGGTGATTCTCATCCTGCGGTTTGCTAAGTGGCCTAATACGTCGCTTAATTCCTCATTCCCAGCTTTCCTGCATATCCAGCATAATCCCAGATTACATGAGGGAGATAAGCAATAGATGGGTATACAAGATTAGTCTATTACCGATCAGCAGCACTCGTAGCTTAGGTAGTGAAACCTGGTGAGCAACCAAAACACAAACATAATCTGTGAGATGATCTCTTCATTTTTGGTAATAATCTAAAACACGGCGACGTCACCGATGTGTTCGAGGTTTGAGCTACGAGCATCGTGGAACTAAACAAAGTCTTTAACAGAGGAGAAGGAGACGCAGGGGAGGCATAAAAATAAAAAAGATTTAATTAATGTGTTAATGCAGTGATTCCTAACCAGCAGTGCTTGTGCTCAAGGGGGTCCTCCAGTGGCCAGGAGGTATACGTACGATGAGTAATGGGACCTCTACATACCTCACTAATGATAAAGAATTACTGTTTCTGATAAATAACGGAGAAAAAGGAGCTAGTCATACATACATCCTGTAGAGTCAGGGCAGTACAGAACAGCAACAGAGAAGAAGAAGATCTACCCGCACATGCTCAAAAACCACAAAAAAAGTTTTCTTATCACCTGAATAAGACCAAGTGTCCGGGCATGTCTCCTTCTTCTCTCTAATAAATAACTAATCTAATGAAATAGTTCATATAGTAAAGTGACAGAAAGTGGTCTATTACAGGTTTAGATCATGGCTAACACTGATTACACATTTAATAAAGCGAGTGTATTAAAAAAGCAGCATTCAAACATGTCAATAAGATATATGTTAGAATTAAAGATCCTAAAAGACAGACCGATTAATCGGCCAGCCGATAATATTGGTCGATATAAGCATATCCAGTGACCAAAGGTATGGGCTATATTTATTGCTACAGTCCAAGATAGCTCTAAGAAAGATATCGGCCAAAATATCGGTATCGAATTGTTTTCTCACCCTAATATCGACATCAATATCTGGCCTAAAAATCTCATATCGGTCGGGCCCTAGTCATTATGGTTATAACCAGAATCATATCTCAGTTTAATATTCGAGCATCGGGATGACTCTAGTCATTAGTCATCGATAAATGGTTGAAATATTCAAATTCTGCCGCTCAAGGGCGCCGAGGAAAAATGCCAATGACTAAATCAACATTGACATCTTTCCTGCGTCTTCTGAGAAGAGAGCGCTTTTCTGTTTTGTATGAACATTTAAGAACAGAGAGCTGCAGAAGCAAACAGCTCCTTCATCACCAGCTCTGAGTGCAAATGATGTTCTTGAGCTGTCGGTCTGCCGCAGCGTGGACCCCCCCCCACCCCCTCGTGCCCTAAAGACTCTTTATAATTGGATCTGCTCTGAGATTGGAGGAGGGAGAAACCCTCTGCTCGGCTTGTTTGACTTGCTGATGATGACGCCTGCAGCTGATTCTGAACGACCCAGAGTCTTCATGGCTTTCATGAGCACAACGTCGATTCGGGATGAGTCGGCGTTATGAAAAACAGTGTTTGGTTCGAGCTGGAATTTGCATGATGGCCTCACCTAAAGATGACTCAACTGTGAGCTGAATAATGAGCTGATTTATGTCGGACCATGACAGCGGGTAGTGGTATTATGATAAATGGCTACAGTTTAAAATGCAGCACACAGAGCATTAAACAAACCCCCGTGTTTGAGGCTGTATTTTATGATGACAATACTTAAAATAAAAAACTGCTGCACTGTAAAGTTTTTTAAAGTCTTTGTTATATGGATTCATATTTACAATCTTCATTATGCTGCTGCTCCTTTATTTAACAACATACCTTATCAGTTAGCCTCCATGCAGTTTAAAAACACAAAAACACAAGAATGGAAGACGATTGCTCGGCACAGACAATGGACGAGCTCCAGCATAGCAGTAAAACAACACATGCTTCAGTTGTTCTCTGTGACACAAGACCATCAGGGTCAACACCCTACACTTTACAGGTTTACTTTAAATTACTTTAAATCAAAGAAGTTTTCAATTTATTTTTGTGTAAGGCGGAAGTTAAACTGTCTGACCTTCCCTGAGTCTGTCTCTTTTTCTGTCTTAACCTTCTCTGAAATCAAAAATGTTGAATATTATCTGAAATATCAAACTTTTAGGGGGTTTTGAGTTTAAACACCATGATGAGCAAATGTCAGATGGTTTCAAGATGAGGGGACAACAGTGTGGCATCAGAGCAACACAGTGAGAGCAAGCATTCATCAAATAATGTCAAATACACGAGGACAAATGTATCGACCAGTCCGTGGGCTTCTGACCATTTATAAGAAGCAGGTCCTGAGGAGAGCTAAGGCCATAGTGGTCTGCTCAAATCACCCACTTCAGACTCAGAGTGAGTTTGAGCTTTTATCCTCAGCTTGTCATTTTAGAGCTCCTATGAGGAAAACGAAAAGACTCCAGGTCTCATTTTCCCCGTGAAATTCATTTATTAAATAGCAATTAGCCCTTATCTTGTATACCTGCTCTCCTTCACATTACAATTGACTAACTTTACTAACTAACAAAAATTCACATTTTGGTATGAGCTCTTGTTTGATTCTACGACAATGTTTTTGTGTTTAATCTGCTTTTTTCCTCCCCGTCTTTGTCTGTGTACCTGCAGGGCTTCACAGCTCGTACGCCGGTCACTCCGGGCAGATCGATCCCGAGCTGCGGGCAGCGTTGTCTCCGGACAGCCACATGACGCCCGTTTTTGATGAACGCTCCTTCCACAGCCCGCTGTACCACAGCCCCACACACGAACCCCAGGGAGCCCTCTACAGGCCAAACACTGGTACTGGAACATTTACTTTCCTAACTGCGTGATTAATAAATGAATATAGTTTGATTTGGCTGCAGCAGCAGTGTGCCTTCAAGCAGGTATTTACCTATGCACATGCTTTAGTTTATAACCTTGAAATAATTTGTCCACTTGAACAATTACAAAACAGTGCAAACGGTGGAGGTATTAGTAGTTAGTTTCACTTCGACTCCGAGGATTATTTCTCTGAAATCTGCGGTGGAAATCACAGTTTACAGGCACAGGAAGTGTTGTTCTTATCGTTCCCCGAGGTCAGAACTTAATTAGGCGGAAACCTTTCATGTACTCTGCTGCGTCTTAATTGAAGCCTTTGCAGAATGATTTAAAGCTGAAGGCTCTGCGGGGTTTGATAGTGGAGGATCTAAGGAGCCATTTTAGCTCCGTTTAGTGTCGACTAAAGCCGTCTGTGGATTAAGAGACGTCCCGCTGCTTTTAAAAGGCTCACTGTGTTTTCAAGCACTCATGTAACACACTGTTGTCACATGTGACCTTGGATGTATTTCTAACTGACTCCATTTTAAAGAAAACAAAACCTGGACTGAGTTGATATCCTCATATTCTCTGCTCCTGAACTCTTCATTTCCTCAGGTATGGGCACCCTCCCTCGGGCTACGAGCCACTGCAGCACGCTGCCCTACCAAAGAAGCAGCAGCTACGGACTGAGCACTGCAGCTCTCTACGTCGACCCCTACAGGGTCTCAGGCGAGCCCGTTTTCTCCCACCGGCACTCTGGGCTTGTGGAGCGGGTTGGGACTCGAACCCGTCCATGGAGAGCATCCATAAAGACCCCAGGTACTCGAACACAAACACATGAGCAGCTTTATGTTTGGATAGGGTGATAAATGACATCATAAATGGACCTCCCTAAAATGAAACCTTTTTCATAAAGGTGCCGGGACAAAAGATGTTTATTCATTTTTCAGTGTTGAAAGTTTGGGGGGGACTTAGACGTTCAAGATTTCAGATTTTCAGATGACAGCTCTAACATGCAGAGTTTTCTTCGCAGGGAGTTTGCTTGGCGAGACCCCGAGCTGCAGGAGGTCATCCACATGCTGCAGCATCACTTCCCCTCCGTCCAGGCCAACGCCGCCGCCTACCTGCAGCACCTGTGCTACGGAGACAACCGGATCAAGGTGGAGGTGAGGTGACATCACACGCTGAGCAGGAGTGAAAATAACATGATGGACATCACAGACATGACTCACGCTGCCGGTGGAGGCAGAGGCCGCCGTGTTTGAAGCTTCACAGACAGAAAAGGCAGTTGATATGAATTGTAGTTTATTTTTCTTTAGATGTAAAACAAACTGATCAAATAAATCTGAATGATAAAACAAATCAAGACAACCAAAGGTCATTTGAAGTCAAAATAGACCAGTTTAATCAACTGTTGCTGGTTGACCTCAGATATCTCCTCCTCCCGTGTCCCAGCTCTGGTTCTCGCAGTTTTTTCTCAGCTTACACAGTTTGAAATATACATTTTATTAGAGATCTCTGCTGCCGCTCTCTGAGCCAAAGCGCCATCTGCTGAAACAAAACTTTAAGTGACGTCGGTGCCAAATGTGCCGGCTCTCTGACACACTGCAACGCCGCTCGCTCTCTCTTTGCTCTGCTTCCCGTGCAATAAATAACTCGGAACACAAAACGACGCCGCTTCATGTGAGACTGTCTTTTCGTGCTGTTCGGCGATGAGCTTTTAATTAGCCTTTAGAGCGGCCTGGACACGCGCCTGCTCGTTTAGCCAGAAACAAATGTGACGGTTTGAACACAGAATCAGAGAGAGACAGGAAGCGTTGTCCTGTCTCACTGCTGCTCTCCTGAGACGCCATTTTTATTCCTGAGATGACACGGGAAAGTTTAGAACACGCTGCAGTGATGCTGCTGCTTCATTCAGATCAACATTTGTTCCAAATATTTCAGAGAACCATTTCTACATGAAATGTGGGGGATATTTCTCAAACAATACTTAATGAATCACAAGATACATTAAAAACATTGTGGAGGATGATGGTGAGATTTGAATAAGAGATAAGAAATACTAAAAATAAAACACTAAAACAATGCACGTCTTTGTTTAAAATGCTCATTTAATCAAAGGAACATCATGTGCAAACGTCTCAAACATCTCCTCTTCTAAAGCGATAATTTGATCAAAAGTTTAACCAGATATCAGGGAGGGTCTAGTTTATAAACACAAAAACAAAAACAAGTTTATCTTCTCAGGTTGATGTCGGCCAATCAAACGTCTTCAACACATTAAAACAGGAGAAAAACTGAAGGAGAACTTAATTTTACTTTTATCGCCATGGTAACACACTAGATATGTTTTTTTTTTTTTGTCCCATTTGTGCCTTTATTGTATCGGACAGCTGAAGAGAGACAGGAGATGTTGGGAAGAGAGAGAGAGGGGGATTACAAGCAGCAAAGGTCAGAGGTCAGATTTGAACCCACGGCTGCTGTGACAAAGCTTCAGTACCTTAGGCACACAACATGACCGCTATGCTATCGGCTCTCCTACTTTCTTTCCAAACTTTAACTTGAGAACTAACCGCACTGATGGCCATCTAGAGTGAATTTAAAGTATCACAGGTATAATATGATTTATCACGGTGAATATCAACGACATAAATCCAGAACTCAAGCTGCACGTGAAACACATTTCTTCTCTCTTTTGTCTCTTCTGATTAAAGATTGTGTCTCTGATCTGAAATCAGAGGAGGAGGGGGGGCTCGTTTCTTTTGCACATCAACCTGCTGCAGATTATAAAGCACTTTATGTTCAGCCAATGACAGCTCTTCTGAGGGACTAACTGTTGTCTTTGTAGTTTGCTTTTTGTTGTTTCACACATCAGGTAGAAATCTGTGAAAAGATGAATACAGCATTTCTGTTCTTATTATGACGACAGGAGGCCATCCTGATGAGCCGGGCCTGTCTCTTAGTAGAAGTTAAGTGGGAGAAAACGTGCTTTGTTTAACCTGCAGGACTCTTCCACATCACTCAGTTCTTCTTTCATGGTGAATGTGTGTGTAGTTTAGTTTGTGTGTAACTGGGTCCCTGGTTTGCAGGTGTGTCACCTCGGAGGGATCCAGCACCTGGTGGATCAGCTGGACCACAAGATGGCCGAGGTTCAGAAGAGCTCCTGTGGGGCCTTGAGGAACCTGGTGTACGGCAAAGCCACCGACAACAACAAGGTGGCGCTGAGGAACTGCGGCGGCGTGCCCGCTCTGCTGCGGCTCCTCAGGAAGACCACCGACAACGAAGTCAGAGAGCTCGTCACAGGTAGGTTTAGTCTGGTTTAACTGAAGGCCGCGAAGCTACAGATTAAGACCATGAACTCGCTCGAAAAATGTTGACTGAGGGGATCATTCTTTGTAGTTCGATTTGTTTGTGCAACCAGTGGAGTCTCCCCCTACTGGATAGTAGAAAGAATGCAGGTTTATGAAAGATACACTTGCTTTACTTTTGAATCCAAAAGGCGACGTCCATGTTTAAAGCAAGATTCAGTTTCTGTGAAGAATTAAAAAAAAACAAAGCAAACAAGGATGTCGATTTTTTTTATCATCTTCTTTATCTTGCTGACAATCTTCTTCTTTGTTGGTGCATTGCTTGTGGTTTTTTTTCTTCACATTACTGTCGACAGTTTTTTCATGCATAAGAGAACAAATGTATTGTTAGAAATGAGTGTCAAACAAAACAAATGTTGCTTTAAATAACACAAAAAACATGGGAGGCCAGAAAATAAAAGAGAGACTCATTTGAGATTGGAGGAAGTAACTCACTGCAGCTCTCCGTTCCTGTTATCTGTTTTATATGCAAAATGTTTATGTGGGGGAAAAATGATCAAAAGCTGGTGTCTACACATTTGCATCCATATACATATAGTAGTGTAGTAATATTCTATTAATGAGCAGCAGATATTGTTTGAAAACAGTCCTCAGAGTGTCCTAGATTGCTCCAGGATTATTTCACTGTGGCTAAAGCTGTCTGGAACAGTTGGCAAAAGAAACGGAACAAAACAAAACAAAAGCATCCAGCGAGCCAGACAAAGACATGCAGCCCCTTCACTTCTCTTTTGTGGGGAAGTAGTCGATATAAGACTCTTTTTTTTTACGCCCGGGGGGGTAAACTGAGGTGAAAGAAGCCTCCCGTGTTGACAAAGAATAGTCGTCTAATGCAAGAGTCCACACGATGAAATCCCGCAGTGATGCATGTGGGCGTCTGCCTGCTCGTGAGCTTCATTGGACGAGTGTCGGTCTGTGTCGCCGTCTGACTGGCTGCCCGGCCCCCGGCCGCCGTGCTGGCTGGTTGGATCTGTGTGGATCTGTGTGTCGGCTGTTTTGTGGGAGGTGAGAGCGTCAGTGGCTCAAACACTCCAAACTCAGTGTTGACAGCAGATCTCGGCATAGTCATCGGGACAGATGCTCCGATAACGTGGTTTGGAAACAGGATGAAGATCTGCAGCCACACACACACACACACACACACACACACACACACACACACACACACACACACCAGGAGACGTGAAGCTGCTAGACGGCTCAGATCTGTGAGAGAAGATGAAAGTGTTCAGTTTGTTAGAAAATATTTGGAAAGTTTTTTATTTTTCAAGCTCAGATCAGGACTTTGATTTCTGTAGCTGGACTCTGAACTTTGTTGGACCAATAAGGCTGCAGATATTCCACTTCTCACCTTGCTCTTCCTTAAAGCTATAATACCGATTGTCAAGCAAAACACCTTCAGATTTAAGAAACATCACTTTGCTTTGACAAAACATAAAACTGCTTCCTGTTCTCTCGGGTGAAGCTTTTTTTCCTACCTGCCCGCATATGTTCCTCTCTTTGTGATTGAACAGATCTTTATGATGTATTTTTTGAACATTCACTTTATATCTTGCAGCTTGCAGGGAGCAGCGAGGCTCTAACACTGCACTGCTTTGATTCACACCCACGTTTCAAATATGTGCCAAAGTATACAGCTTCTGTCTTATCCTCCTCAGAGTTTTTTTTTTTGTCTGTTTTATTCCGCTCTCGTTGGTTCTCAAATGCTGCTTTTTATTTTATTATTGTTCTGCTTCTACATAGGCGGACTGTGAAGGTTTAATACTTTGTAAAACAGGACGCTTTATGGGAGTGATATCATTTTAAAGAGGGAGATAAAAGTGAAAATATAAAACGGGAGACATCACAGTTTTGAAGGCAGGAGAGACCCGATGACAAGAATGATAGATTTCAACATGACTGTTCAGTGTGTCCAAGCCGTGAGAGAGGTGACACCTCTGCACACTAAATGACTTTTCTTATTTGACGCCCTGCCCCCCCCCCCCAGGCGTCCTGTGGAACCTCTCCTCGTGTGACGCCGTGAAGATGACCATCATCCGCGACGCTCTCTCCACGCTCACCAACACGGTGGTCATCCCACACTCGGGCTGGAGCAGCGTCTCGCACCGCGACGAACACAAAGTCAAGTTCCAGTCGTCGCTGCTGCTGCGAAACACCACCGGCTGCCTGAGGTGAGCAAAACAAACGCACCCTTTGTTAATAAAGGTTTGATTTATTTTCTCTCAAGTCCTACTTTCAAAAAATGTAAACTAACACAGTGGAAAAAGAAATACCGATGTTTATCCACAACTCATGTCACATCTCAATGAAGAAGACGTTAACAGTGTCAGGCGTGTATTCAGCTCGTTAAATGAATGCTCGTCTGAAATGCGAGGATGACTTCTGGATTGATTGGTGCTCTGTGCAGCTTTTTATTGTAATGATTGTGTTGATGATCTCCATCCCATAATCGTCAATAAAAGTGTCTGTAATGGAGATTTGATGCAGCTTAAGCACGCGTATGACCGCATTAGTCTGCTGAGAGAAATAACAGAAAAGAGAGAGCTGTGGCTCTTTAAGGTCCAAACCCCGAGATGAAGGTTGAGTTTCATTATCTGCACATTTGAGATCCATAAATCCTGAAGAGCAGCAAGCAGCTCTCTTTATAAAATCTCAGTTTAAATGTACAAAACCTTTTCTCAGTTTAACAAACCACCTTGTTAACCATCTCTACAGAATACCATCCCCGAAACACAATAAACAAAACAAACAGAATCTATTGAATGATTCAGACAGCTTGAGTTTCCCATCTTGCTCTGATTGGCCCGTATCTCTCCTTAATTAAAAGAATCCATCCTGCTGTGTGGAGACTCCCCTGTCATGCTGCAAACTGGCCTTATTGAATGGATGCCAGTCTCTCTTTAGTGTCAGGAGCCAATCAGGACAGAGTCCAGGTGTGTCTCCTGAAGTCTGCAAAGGCGTTTGCAACTCAATAACTTCAACTTTAACCTTTCAAACAGAACAAGTTTTGATGATGTCATAAAACGTCTCCTCACACAAACTGCTGGTGATTTGTCTCCTCAATTTATTCGCTCTGTGCTGCAGGGAGCTGCGCAGCCTCCAGCGTCTCTAAACACTCACACCGAGGCCGTATATTGATGGTATAGAAATGCATTGTGGGAGTCTTGTGATGTTGTGCAGTCCTCTCATGTCAGCTCTCCATGAGTGGCGGCTGCAGGCTCTCATTGGAGGATGGGCTACCTCCTTTGCTGTATCCGGGCAGGTTTTTTAGCCACCCTGTGGGGGAATCCACACACTACACTTCATTCTGAATTTGTGTGTGTGTGTGTGTGTGTGTGTGTGTGTGTGTGTGTGTGTGTGTGTGTGTGTGTGTGAGGAACCTGAGCTCAGCCGGGGAGGAGGCGAGGAGTCAGCTGCGTTGCTGTGAAGGTCTGGTCGACTCGCTGCTTCATGTGCTCAAAGCCTGCGTCAACACCTCCGACTACGACAGCAAGGTGCAGCAAAAACACAGCCGCACACACACACACACACACACACACACACACACACAATTTGTTATACACACATACATTCCCAGGAGACTTGCCCTTACATTTATCAAATCCTAACACAGCACAGCCAAATGATTAACCTTAAAAGATGACATTAATCATGTAGTTTTCCAGATGGGAGGTGAGTCTCTGTAATGTGAGCACAAACCAACTGTGTTTAAATGAATTAAAATCTTAAGAAGTATTAATTGGTGTTACTTGAATATCTTTAATTGCAGCATGGTAAGCAATGGATGCATCTATGCTAACATGTTCTGTATGTTTTGCTGACGACGTCTCACTTCAAAGCGCTCTTGTTACCTTTGATGTCGAGAAAGTTCAATGATAATCTATTTCCTCAGATCGTGGAGAACAGCGTGTGCACCCTGAGGAACCTCTCGTACCGCCTCGAGGTGGAGATGCCCTCCTCCCGCCTCCTCGGAAACCAGGAGCTGGACACCCTGCTGGGCTTCTCCTCCCCCGCCAAGGAGCTGGACTACCTCTGCTGGGGCAAGAGGAGGCGGGGCAGGAAGAGGGGCGGCTGGCCCGACGACAAGGTACAGACAGTTCCAACCCTCAACTCTGGTCATGAGCTTTGATAGTGACCGAAAGAATGAGATCAGGGATACGAGCTGCTGAAATGAGTCCTCTGAAGGGTGTCTGGGTTCAGCCTCATAGGGGGAGGAGCTTTTTGAAGAGCTGTTGTTCCTTTTCATCAAAAGGAGACAGTTGAGGCGTTTAGGGTGCCTGATTAGGATCCTCCTATCGCCTTCCTGTGCAGGTCTTCCGGGCAGGTGCAACTGGGAGGAGACTCCGGGGTTACTCACCCTTCTGTATATAACAGTATCAGTTAATTATTAGGTTTTTTAATGAGGAGCAAAAATCAGCCACGTTTTGGTCTAAATAACAGGAAAACTTGGATATGCAGAATTTAAGTTGTTCAAGCTGATTGTTGTTTTTCTTGCAGTGGGACGGTGTCGGGCCAATCCCAGGTTTCTCTCAGTCTCTGAGGGGGGCAGAGCTGCTGTGGCACCCCCTGGTGGTGAAACCGTACCTCAATCTGCTGGCCGAGAGCTCCAACCCGGCCACGCTGGAGGGTGCCGCCGGCTCACTGCAAAACCTCTCTGCAGGGAACTGGAAGGTAAAAGTCTTGAGACATTTAAGTTTGTATCGTTATTGGATAGCTTAACATGTTTTTTTTTCCTTTTGCAAAAGAAGAAGTTTGTTTACCACAAAAAAAAAACTGTGTGTGTGTTTAGTTTTCAGCCTACATCCGAGCGGCGGTGCGTAAAGAGAAAGGTCTGCCCATCCTGGTGGAGCTGCTGAGGATGGACAACGATAGGGTCGTCTGCTCCGTCGCCACCGCTCTCCGAAACATGTCGCTGGACGGCCGCAACAAGGAGCTGATAGGTCCAAACGTGCACACACACACACACACACACACACACACACACACACACACACACACACACACACACACACACACTCAGTAAACAGATTGATTAGTTGAACTGTGAAAAGATCATCTTCACACGAGTTAGGAACAGCTTGTTCAAAGCAAGTTTTTAATGTCACATCACTGAGACACAAATGATGACACATCGCCCCCTTGTGGAGAAAAGATGCGTTGAACATGTCACACAGAAAGTCAATGTAATTAGTGGTGATGAGAAACACCTGGACTAATAAAGCCACATGAATTATCTTCATATATTTAACAGAATTTATTATTCTTTTATTTAGAGACCCTAAACGAGAACAAACACAGTTTTATCACAGCCAGAAAAACCAAACACAGACTTGAAATAAAAACCAGAATCTAAAAAATGTTTTATCCCCTGCCTCAAGTAACCACCATGACACCCTCCCTGGAAACCCTCAGCAGGCATGATCATCCCCACTCACATCATCTTAGGTTATAATGCAGGTTACACAGATTTATATCACCTAGTCCTAAAATCAAACAGAACTTATTGACCAAGTGTATCCTTGACTGCACGACCTAAATCTGTAGGATTATAAAATAACTGGAACAAACCTTCGAACCAGTGTTTCTATGAATGCATCAAATTTATTTGTGAAGAACACTTAAAAAAAACAGCATCAGCAGAGGAAGCTCTAAAGAAGGACAAAACCAGTAAAAGGGATCTGGTAAAAGGTAACAAGGAATGTTGTTTTCTCCTGCAGGAAAGTACGCCATGCGGGACCTGGTGAACCGGCTCCCCGGCGGCAGCCCCACCGTGCTTTCAGACGACACGGTGGCGTCGGTGTGCTGCACGCTGCACGAGGTCACGAGCCGCAACATGGAGAACGCCAAAGCTTTAGCAGACAGCGGCGGCATCGAGAAGCTGGTGGACATCAGCAAAGGGCGAGGGAAAGGGTACGAGAACGGACGGGAAAGCTCATGTGGAAATACGTCTTCAGGGTTCTGTGTTTAACACTTTGTGATGTAGGAACCGTCTTCATCTGTAAAGTTCAGCGTGTGTGTGTCTTCATGTTTCAGGTACTCGATGAAGGTGGTGAAAGCTGCCGCTCAGGTGTTGAACACGCTGTGGCAGTACAGAGAGCTGAGGACACTCTACAAACAGGTGAGAGTCCGCAGACACAACAGGACCACTGTGTACTTTACAAAGCAAATACTTTTTTAAACACAAAGTATTTCTCTCAGTCAGGAAAGAACTGGAGAAGAACCCGGGTAAGAATCGTTTGACAATGTTTGGATTCAAACATTAACATCAAGTAACGTTACTCAGGAGTATAATATAATAACTTATATCATTTTATATAATATATAAGCAGCTCAGTGCTGGACAGAGGCTGTGCTACTGAATGAGTGAGAGCAACACAAAGCAAACATTCACAGAGCTTCAACGTGTTCATACGTTAGCAGAAGTGAATCAGAGACATGTTCAATAATCGTGTGATCGTGAAAAAAACAAGACTTCTTCTTGATTAATGTTTACATGGTGATGTTGCTTTTTAAATATACATTTTAAACCATTTGAACTTTTATAAACTGAACAAGTCTTAATCCAGTGTAGGTTAGAGAGGTTCAGCAGATTTTTAAACACAATCGTCATCAATTAGACGCTCAACACAAGCATCTCCATCATTCATTAACCTGAGAACAATACATTAAGAAGTTAACACATTATAAAACATGAACACCTCCTCATGGTCTATATTGAATCATAAGAATAAAAAACATTGTTTGTATTACCTAACTAATAATCCTGATTTAACAAACAGAGTTATGTGTGATATTTAGCTTCTGCACTTTTAACATGTGTGTTAATTTAAACCTCTGTTGTGAAGAATTATACACAAGCTGATAACTGTGTGTTTGTGTATGTGTGTGTGTGCAGGACGGCTGGAACTACACACACTTTGTCACTCCGGTCTCCACTCTGGAGCGAGACCGCTACCTTTCACAGCCGACACTGCCCACCAGCCCTCTGCAGATGTCCCCCGTCATCCAATCAGGTGAGAGAACCGGTGAGTGACATCTTGAACAGATTCTGTTTGTGTCCAAATCCCGAAAGAGAAATGAAAACTTTCAGTTATAACAGAAAGAGAACAAGTCGTGGTTTTTGTCCTTTTCTCCTCAGGTGGAAGTGCGACCTCCTCTCCGGCGATGCTCGGGATCAGAAGACACAGCTCCAACTATCAGAGGGCGCAGTCATCTATGCAACTCGACACGTATTATGGAGACAACAGTTTACACAAACGGCAGTACACAGGTTGGAGTAGATCACTCTGTAATGTGGCGTCCCTCAGAGACCAATGATTAAATCTCTTTTCTTTCATTATAGACAAACTTTTCAACAAATTTGTGTTTCTTCTACTTTCCCCCCTCAGGGTCTGAGAAGAAAACTCCGTATTTCATTGGGACATATTCTTCTCAGTCAGGAGAGGATTTGAGAAGGTCCCAGGTAAGAAACATCAGCAGGTTTCAGAGCGAATAAAGCAACAGAGAAACACATACACTGTTAAATAAACCCTCACTTAGATTCCTCCTGATTCAGATTAATAGTTGTAAATAAAGTCCTAATAAATCCTGATACTTCCTCTCACCAGCACACAGAGCCATTTTATGACGAGCCCGACAGGAAGAACTACAACAGCTACAGAATGTACCTGTCGTCCCCTCAAGGCTACGGAGACGAGCCCTACGAGGACGAGCCGGTCCACCTCACCCCGCCCTCCCCCGACGGCTACGCCACCCAGTCGCTCCGATTCAAAGCCAACACCAACTACGTGGACTTCTACTCCACCACGCGGAGGCCTTCAAACAGGGCGAACAAGTTCACCGGCTCCCCCGACTCGTGGGTGTAGAGACAAAGTGGGCGTCGCGTACGTCCAGCTCAGTGTGTTTCTGTGGGTGTTTGTGTGTGTGTGTGTGACAGGAGTGCACTTGTGTGTCTGGGTGTGTGTGTGTGTGTGTGTGTGTGTGTGTGTGTGTGTGTTGGAGGTCGAGGGTGCATGTGGATGTGTGTGCATCTGTGTTGAAACTGTGCTGAATGACCAGGGCTCGGTTTGCTACCTGCAGCTTTTGACTGAGTGGCATCATGTGCACAATAATGCAGATAAATCATCTTTGTTTTTTTTCTGCAGTCAAACGGAAGACTTTGTGGAGAAAATGTTGCAGTGCAGTTTTTGACCACAGGAGGGCAGAAAAACCTACAGCTAAAATCCATGATATGCTTGACTTATTATTGGCTGTTTTTATGGCTAATATGCGAGCAAACAGCTGCCTTCTTGCAGCCTTGATCATCTGGTGGGAAAATGTTCCACCACGTTTATGGTTATGCACGAAGTGGTCACGCTGGATTTTCTACCTAAAAAAAAAGTGAATTTGATCCTGGCTCTGGTGAGAATAATCATTGTCTGTCACTGTCCTCACCAGCTGCTTATGGTTGTAATTTGTGAAGCACATTAGATCAAATTGAGTGAAATTTTACTGAAATTAACTGTCATTATTCCTGCGATATGACGATAGGACACTGCTGAACATTCACTTCCTACAGTTACTAATAATCAGACAGCGAATCTCAGCTCTTCAGCCTGTTGAGCAGAACGATAGTCCTTACAGCAGTCTGTTCTTCATTCATTTCACATCTTTAAACCCTTTGCTCTCTTTGATTTGAGCTGAGCTCTTTTTGCACATTTATCTCCAACAGCTTTGCACATGCCAAAGTTTAGATAGAAACAAACGTATGAGGAGCAGGTTCTTGATGACAGAGTTGCAGACGGCCACCTCTGATGAGCAGTGGTCTTTCACACCTGGACTTGTGACTTTTAACGATTCTCACTTCACACCCAGGTGGACAAACGACCCACTTTTTACTCCAACAGCCTTTTATAAGTCCAGGGAACTAACAGGCCGTCAGCATCTAAAATATCACAATCACTACAACGCTCATTTTTTACTGTTTTGATATTTCAGTATGTTCAAGAGTAGAAAACGTTTGTCAGATTTTTCCAGCTTTATCTGCATTATTTTGAACATGAAAGTGTCTGAACTGAACAAAGATGAGCTTAGTCAAAAGGTGCCCTTGAAAAAAAGAAACAGCCCTAACGTTGTTGTTCACCAGAGTGTTTGTGAAGGTCAACTGATATCATGTTTCTCTGCAGTAAAAGTGTGCAGTTTGTTGGCTTTATGACATAAATATCGTTCGCCAGCATCTTCATGATCACGAGAGAAAAACCCTGGGACAAATATCATAATAGGCTGAAGGCTACCACCAATCTGAGGTAAAAGTCGCCATTGTTGTTGGTAATATTTGTTCCAGGTTTGGAGAAGAGGAAGTCACCTTAAAGAGAACCTTTAAAGACTCAGAGCACCGGGGTTACGCCTGTAACCTGTGCTCGTCTGTATGTTGGCTGAAACGTGCAGTATATCATAAAACGTGAAAATGTGACAAACATGTGAAAACCTATTTGTACAGATGCAATGGTTAAAGCGTCCTGTTACATTGTTGTACTCAATATGTAGAACTTTCTATGTGATTGTGTGAAGAAGATTTTTCTATTATTTATGATTCTTTTTATTAATTTCACCTGTGACCTGACCAAAATACCCCATCTGTCTGTTCTGTCCAAAACTGATGATGGTGACGATGATGTGCAATGTTACAGAGGGAAATCTATGTATAGGGATTAAAGATTATATCACGACCGCTTATCGAATCGTGTCTTTTTTTAGCACCAAAAAAAAAAGACGATGATGAAAGTTAAATAGATTTATTTTTATTTGCTTTAATTGCATCAGTCGTACATATATTAAGAGTTATGATTCAACAGCCAAAAAAACTAAAATAACAAAATGCAAAATGTACATCGGATGAGGTCAAAGCCCAGAAAATTCCTCCTTATCTCCCCCCCCATGAGCATGCTGTGAACACAAGCTCGAGTCCATGCAGATACATTCATGAATACATCAGCCGTCCTGCACGCTCCAAACAGCCCAAAAAAACAAACGCAGAAACACAGAATCGTCAGCCTCAGACGTGATATTCTTTGGCAACATTTAGTTGCCGTTTGTATCACAGCTTTCATCAATAAAGGAGATAATATTGTGCATTCAGAAACATGCTCAAGTGGCAGCACAAAGGAAAGCAGCACAGACACGTCGTACGTATATCTTTGATTCAAGGGTAACATTTTGATCCGTTAGTATTTGATAGAAATGTCTCTGAGGATGCTGAACAAAAGGAAGTCTGTTATTCTGAAGGCACGAGGTGTGGCAGAGTGAAAAACAGACTCTTCTATGATTGGTCAATAGAATTTAATCTGATAACTTCTAATTCAAGGGGAATTCCTTCTTCTGTCACCAGCTGTGTTTTTAAGGTCTCTGATTGGCTGATCAGGAGCTTTACAGAGTGATTGCAGATTTAAAAGGAGATTTGTGAAAAACGCTCTTCATGCTCCTGAACCTCACTCCTACTGTCCTCTGAGTCCTGGGATCACCTGATTGGCTAGTCAGTGTCCCTGTAGGACTACAGTAAAGACACAGTTATCCTGTCTTTACAGCAGCATTATACATTCTATTCATTCAAATAATACATACCGTAATTAATCGGGACATTCATTACATTCTGCCTCCTACTGAACAATATCTCTGCAGGTGGCGTGTTTATTTATGAAGATTTAAAGTGTTTGTTTTTGGATGATTGTCACCTAAAGGAAGACGAACAAAGTGAACTGCATGAATATCTAAAAAGTGAGAAAAACGTTAAATATGATATCGTTGCAGCCGTGTTTTTGTTGGCTCAAAGTCTGCAAACAGGTGAGGAACTCAAGGGCTTCAGCTGCTGTGACACTGACGGTTAAAAAAGTGAACAGTTTGACATTTGTGGAAATATTCATGTCAGCTTATTTTGTTTAGAGTCAGACGCGATGGTTGATACGACTCTGCTGTCTGTGTGCTACAAAGAAAGCTACATCTGGTTAGCTTAGCTTAGCATTAGGACTGGAAACTGCTGAAGTGACTCGATCCAAAGGTGAAACAGATCCAACCCTCCAGTTATAAAATCAAAGTTCTGGTTTATTGGGGGTTATGTGCTGGGCTATTTCTTGTCCAGGTACAGAGACGTCCCGGCAGAATAAAACAGAGAGGTTAAGAGATGCTAGTGAGCAGATTACGTTTCACGTTATGACAGCGCCAGGCTAGCTGTTTCACCCTGTTCCCAGGGCTAAGCTTATCAGTTTTCTCAACCTACTCTTTGCAGGATATCTTTGCTGTTTCTTTAAATCAATAAATGCTGGTTAAAGAAAAAATATATAATCTAAAGCTCGACCTCAGCTCTTCAATCTCTTGAAAGTCTTAAACATTGAAAGACCAGAAAGAAAGTGCTCTAAAATCCCACTGGCTAACCTTCATATTATAAATCTTCCTCCCTCACACAGAAGCTCAAGGCCTCATATATAAATGTGTCACTTGACATGATCCAACAGGATACATCTTTATCAGAATAAATGAAATGATTTGTTATCAGGAAAATCTTAAACACTGGTTGATAAAATATTTGTTCTTAAAATCATAATTCAGGACCTCAAGCAGAACATTTCTTAAAAGAGGCCTCTGACATCAACATTCAGCAAATTAGATATGTTCACATGACAGTATTTACACCGTGGATGTATGCTTCTCTGAGTGCTGACAGTCTGTTGTGATGGCCTCCCATTGGTGCTCCAGCAGGAGGGGCGGGGCTTGTGGTTTCCAGGTGAGGCAATGGGCATGCGTAGAGTCATTAATGGTCTGCCTGAGGGAGGGAATAAAACATTTGAATACATAGTATGCATGAAAGCATCAGACAGTTTCAAAGTGCTCTAACATATTTGAATTTCACAGATAATTCGAAACAAATAAGAGAATATGTCAGGAAACAATATAAAAAAGACATTTAAAAAGCTTGAGAAGGCTGCAGGAGAGAGTGAAACTTCACTTCAGATTACTCACAGTTTAACTTGCTGATGTGGATTTAGTTGTGGGTGTAGACGCCTCCGGCTCTGATGGAGCTGGTGATGGGCGATGACAGAGGGTGATGTCCCGGCCTGATGGGCTTTGCTGCGGCACAAAGACACAAAATCGTTAACTCATTGAGTCAAATTATTTTCTCTCCTGTCCAAGTCCTGAACGTGAACCTCCACCTCACCGATCTGTGCCGAGTAGCCCCTCCTGGTCATATTCTTGGCCCGCACGGCTTCTTTGATGCGGTCCACCTCCTGCTGGTAGCGCTTGCGGTCCCTCATGGCGTTCTCCTTGGCCTCCTTCAGGGCGTTCTCCAGAGCTTTGACTCGCTCCGCCGTGGCTCGCAGACGCTTCTCCAGCTTGGGCAGCTCACAGCGGAGGTCGGCGTTGTCTCGGACCAGCTGACGACAGCGGTTAGAAAGTAACTTAGTAAATTTATTCAAGTACTGTGATGTCATTTAAAGGTAATTTACATGATTCATTGGTTACGGTAGTAAACTTGATTAGCTAATAAAATAATATTCTTTATAAGAGATTTGACTTCTGAATATTTTTGGTTTGTCATGACAGAAAAATAAAGATTTGGCCCCTTTGTTATGTTTTTAATGTGTAGCTGAGGGCGGCAGTAGCTCAGTGTGTAGAGACTTGGGTTGGGAACCAGAGGGTCGTCAGTTCAAGTTCAAGTCCGACCGTTATATGGAAGTTGGTCTGATAGCTGGAGAGGTGCCAGAGCACTTCTTGAGCACTACCGAGGTGCCCTTGAACAAGGCACCAAACCTCCAACTGCTCTAGAAGCCCTGAAGCCCAGAGTTTCCCTCAGGGGATTAATGCAGTATAGTATAAGTTATTTCTGAATTGAAGTTTTTGTTTAAACCCTGAAGAGATACGATTGGTTGATAAGTCACAGCTTCATGTCTTTACCTGCTTGTGGACCTTAGTGAGCTGTTCCAAGTTGTTCTCCAGGAAGGAGATCTTCTGTTTCTGAGCCACGTTTCCGAGCCCTCCTCACAGTCCAGCTCTGCACTCTGAAACACACACACAGGTCAAAGGTCAAATGTAAATCTGGCCTACTCTGAAAGATGATTAACATGCACACAAGAGGGAGGGGGCTTGTACCTTCTTGACCCGGGTGGTGAGGTCCTGGACGAAGAGTTTGCGCAGGTTATGAAGAGTCTGCAGCTCTTTGGCCTGAGAGAGGAGAAAGACAAAGATTCTGATGGTGAGAACCAAAGGCTCCCCCTCCTGGATGCTACCTCTCTCTCTCCCTGACTTCTGACTCTGTCCACCGCCCTCTCAAATAAAGGCATATGAAAAAAAGAATGATTTTAACAAAGTTCGAAGGTAGAATCGAACCCCCTATCTAAAGAAGTCAGAATTATATCACCACATCAAGCTGAGCTATCAGTCAGGCAAGCCTCAACATTAGATTATAGCCTGTCACTTTTTCACCTCTTTTTCCATGTATGAATTTTTTTTCCGATGGTTAATTAATAAAATCCCAATTAAAGATTTCTTCCTTTTTCCACTGACATGAGAAAATCCCAGCTTTTTAGATGTGATTGTTTACTGGTCTTAATGCACTGGTTTTCATCTGAAACATCGTCTGCTGTTGAATCTTTTCATTTGTTTTCAGACTTTAATCACGTTAATCAATAATGTGAGGAGTTTTGTATCACAGGGAGACTTACTCAGTCTGCACATTTGAATCTTTCTCTACTCTTCACCTCATTAAGTCTTTGATTTTTGTAAATGTTTATTTGTCACAATGTTCACACTGAATCAGTGTAAAGAAAAACAAAGACTGCAGGTGTTCCATAAAATCTTTTGGTCAAAGAGATCTTCAGGTCGACCTTGAGTAACACATCTCTTTTCATTTTCAATCTTTGTTATGAGGACACTTTTCATCTGTCTGAAGAGCGTCAAGTGCCAAGACTCGGCAGACTCTGGAGAAATTTGAAAACCTCTTAGAAATGAAATGTATCTGTCCTGCTCCATAGCTCAGGGAGTTAGAGATGTGATTGGGACTCCAGTGGAAGTGAGTTCAAACCTTTTTGAAGAGTTTTGAGGGCGACTGTCCAAAGAAAAAGAGAAAACCTCAAAGACACCTCTTCAAATTGTCTTCTTCTACAGCTCAGGGAGATGGTCAAGTGTCTTACAGTCCAAAGGTTGTGTGTTTGATCCTTACTGCATTCATTTTTTAAAGGCTAGTGTCCAAAAGAGATGATGAAAAGCTCTCAGAAACACTGCTGCACTGTTTTTTATTTTATGTGCCATTGCACGTTAGTATGGAATACCGCCATTATGGAAACCACCGCCCATTTATCAGAGAATCTCCCCCAGGGTTTGGTTTTTCATTCAGGTAGAAGTGTTGGGGGGGGGGGATGAAATACTCACCACAGTGTCCTGGAGGCCCTTCAGATCCTCGTTGGCCTGCTCCCTCTGATCATTCAGCAGTCTGGACAGAAAATGTGGATGAATTGAGGACACACAGACTAATGAATAATAGAGATGTGATGTGTTAGCTGGTACATACATGAGCTTCTGTAGTGTTGCATCTTTCTCCTGCTCTTCATTTTTCAGTTTGTCATAATCTGTCATGAGTCTCTCCTGCTCCAGTAACAGGCCCTGGTTCAAACTAAAAGGAGGAAAATAAAATGTATAATGTGGCCAGAGTTAATGTTGGTGTCTGCTTGAGTGGATAAAATCGTGCACTTCTAATTGAAGTAGTTTATGATTGTAAATAAATGAATGAATTGTGTGGACTTACTCTGTGAGCTCGTCCATCATCCTCTGCTTGTCTTCGATCTCATCTCTGAGGCGGCTGAGCTGCTTCTGGTGAGCCTCCCGGTGGTTCTCCAGCTGCTCTTCCAGAGTTTTCTGGAGATTAAAAAGCGGATTACAGACAATACAAAGTGTGTTTGTGTGTTTTTTGAAGTTGTAAACTGTCCTCACCTTGATGTCCCCGTCTCCATCATGTCTGCCGATGTCCTCCTTCTCCTTCTCCTCTCCTGACATCTCATGTCTTTTTTCTGATGACCAACAAAGACGTAAAACTGTCTAACAAGATGTTTGAAAGGCCTTCAGGAATAAATAATATATGATATGTTGTTTTTGTTGTTGTGTACTGACCGTGAGCCTGCAGTTTGGCCAGCTCCTCGGTCAAAGAGTCCTGACTCTCCTCCAGCTGCCTCTTCTTCTGCTCCATGTTCTGCATGTAGTCCGTCAGAGACTTGATCTTGGCCTGGTGCTGTACAAAGAGGAGACGAAAACCTTTTTTATTCCACTTGTAAAAAAAAAAAGATCAGTCTTTGCCAAACTAAGTGGAACACGTGAGTGTTTTTTTTTCAGGGCTGGGCACGTTAACGCGTTATTTTCGCGTTAACTCATTAATTAATTATCGCCGACAATTATTTTATCTAGCATTAACGCAGTTTTTATCATTTATTTTCTTATTGTAAAAGTCTGTTGCTCACTGGCTTTTATTTTGTAAAATTCCATCGTGAGCGAGCCTCGCATGTTGCTTACTGCTGCGCATGTCTGCTGCGGCGCTCACAGGAAAGAGGAAACAGTGTTGCCAACTTGGTGACTTTCTCGCTAAATCTGGGCGACTTTCCAAACCGCCTTGGCGACTTTTCTTGTCAACAGCTACTAGCGACAAATCTAGGCATTGAAGCTTAAACGTAATCATGCAACATATTTAGTGATTGTTACCTGGGAGATGAGCAGCTGACAGGACGCCAGCTCCTTGTCATTGGCCTGAATCTTTCTGTGGGCGTCGGCCTGCGTGCTCTCCAGCTGTTTGCTGCGGTTCACCAGAGACTTGACCTCAGACTTCATCTTGCTGATGTAGAGCCGAGCTACGGTGAACTCCTCCTCCACCGCTGAGCCGTTCCCCTTTGACTCTGAGGACTGAGGATGAGGGGGAGGTTACAGGCGTTGAGAGTGTGAAAGATGTGTGTGTGTGTGTGTATATAAATGTGTGTGTCCGTTCTCACAGCTGTCTTGACATCACTGGTGCCGATGATGGCGCCGATGTCACTGAGGTCTCGTAGCAGCAGGTTCAGGACCTCGGTAGCTCTCTTTCTCTGCAGACCGTTCAGCTCCTGCAGCTGACTCAGCTCCCTCTGCACCGCTATAAGCAACGCCTGTCCAAAACACACACACACACACACACACACACACACACACACAAACGTAAAACAATCTGTATGTTTCTGCAGAACTCAAGATGCAGACTTTACTTTGTATGTTTCTGCAGAACTCAAGATGCAGACTTTAACACATCTGTACCGTCTTGTGCTGCAGCTCCTCTGCCAGCTGCAGGTTGGTCTGATCTCTCTCCTCCACCTCTTGGCTCTTCTGGTCGTAGTTGACGGCGAGCTCCTCCAGCGCCTGCAGCACCTCCTTCACCTCCTCCTTGGCCAGCTCGTTCTCCGTTTGCAGCCGGCACAGCTCCTCCTGGATCTTGTCGTAGTCGCGCCGCGTAGATGCCAGCAACTGAGAGGAAATGCAAAAATGATCATCCTTATGAAATCCATGTTTAAATGAAAATACTTGATATTTCTTTTGTATTTCATAGGCTGAGAGACAAACCTCTTCTTGGTCCAGCATCTGCTCCTTGAGTTTCTCAGCCAGCTGACTGTGTTGGTTGATCTCATCATCCTGTGAATTTATTACAAGAAAAGGACATCAAGTAATAATAAGAATTGAGAAAAGAAAGTATTTGTATTTAGAATCTTTAAGCAGGTTGTCTTCAAACTGTGCTTCTAATGTTGTGTCTTGTCTTTGAGTTTAGTCTCACCTTGTCATCCAGCTGTTTGTACAGGGTGCTGATGTCCTCCTCGTATTTGCTCCGCTCGTCGCCGGTGACCGAGACGCCTCCTCCAGCCTGCGGCAGGTTATCGATGATAGGAGTGTTGTCATTTGGCTCAATGCTCTTCTGATCTTTGGAGCTCAGCTGCTCCTCCTCAGGAACGTCCTCTCCTGAAACACAGAACGGGAGTGAGCTAGTTTTGACAATACACAACAACATCAAAATTGTACTTGATTCAAGTTCTTGAATAAATCTACTTTCCAAAAAAGAGAAAAAAGTGTCCCAAAGTTACATGACAAGAAACTTAATGTTTGTGAACTTTCATAAATCAATCCATTTTTATTCACTTAGCTCCATATCATAAGAAAAGTGATCTCCACACACTTTACAATAAGTGATTCGTACAGGTTCAAGCAGCAGTTTGAAGCTGTAATGATGACTGACTTTATGACTGAGACAAAAAGTCATCAACAAATGAGAAGGAGTGAAATGGTGAAGAGCTGCTTGGTTTAAATGTCTCGGCATATGGCGTGAGCAGCAGATCAGAAACACTGCATCAGCAAAATGTGTGTCTGTTTATTACAGTGTGTGTGTGTGTGGGCCAGTGTGGTGTGTGCATTCACTTTGTAGGCTTTAGAGTCTGAGCCTGTGCTGATCTGTTGAGAAGGAGGGGGCGTTCTATCTGCAAGTATCCGCAAGGGGATTAAAAATATAAAAATTACAATGTGCAACGAGAGAGGGAGAGAGACATTAAAGTGAAGCGGGAGAGAGGAGAGAGGGAGAGAGGGAGAGAGGGAGAGAGGGTTTCAATGGTTACCGTGCAACAGAGATGGAAAAAAAAAACAGTGAGGTAAAGGAGCCACTGCAGTCTACGAGGAGAGAGAGAGAGAGAACTAGAAACCAAACAACACAGTGAAAAGCCTCTGACAGTGTGTTTAAATAGTAAACATGATAGGTGCACTGTTTGATGATGTTAAACCTACATTGAGGTTTGATTATTACTGCTTTGTAGCTCAAGTGTGCAGCATATTTCCAAGGTTTCATCTGATAACTAAAACCTTTTGCCATGTCTAAACATTAGTTGTATCTTATATCTTGTGTTTGTTTGTTAAACCTAGAAATGCTTTATTTCCTAAAAAGCTTTGCAGGCATGCTCTATCATTAAAAGATACCTCATTAAAACTTGACATAAATTACTTGTATGATTTATCCATGAGAGCACATCATGGGCTAAATTTGTTGCTGCATGTGATGAACTTTGATTCAATCCAATCTGATTAAAGTCATGCATTAAATGCATTTTTAACATAATGTGCAGATGGGTAGCACATAAAATGATTCAGCATAAACTGTTTCTGAATTATGTCAAAGTAATGTCTCTAAATGATGATAAATGGTAAGAAGAACTGTGTTTATGCCTCTTTAAACTGTCGCCCACATTGATGTGTTTTTTTTTTCTCACCGTTCCTCCAGCGGTTGAGTTCAGCCTCCAGCCTCTGGATGATGGTTTTCAGGTTTTTGTTCTTGTCCTTCTCCTTCTCATATTTCTTCTTCCACTCCTCGGCAGTCAGCTCCAGGTTCACCGACACCGTGTTCTTGATGGTCTTGGCTCTAAAAAAGTGACATTTCTTTAGAAGTTAAAAAGATACAGCTCATGTACACAGCTATTTTCTCTTTTTTTTAAACATGGAGTTTAATGACATTACCAGTAAATGTCTGCAGAGGTCACATTAGCCAGAATGATAACACCCGTGAGCTTTGCTTATTGTGCAGCAATGTTGTAAATCTAATTTTAATTTAAGTCTCTGTTTCATTTCCTCTGAGTGTCTTTCATCAGACGGCAAATGGCTGCACAGTAATCACTCATCAGTCGCCCCCTGACATTGCTGCTGCTTCAGAGTTTATTACAAACTGTAAGCACTTTGAACTTATTGCCAGACACTCAGAGACAGTTGTTACAGATGGATTTGAATCATTGCACACACCACAAACACAACAGGCTGCTCACACACATTTGTATTAATCATGACAAACAGGGAAAATAGGAAGGATGGGGGATTTGAAGAAAAACAAAAAACAGGGTGCTAAATCAAGGTGTGGAAGGATCCTACAGAGGGATCTTTAAATAGAGATAGACCCAGATCCACAGTGGGAAACCTAAAGCCATCTGTTGTCTTGTTGTGAGCACTTCTGTCAGCTATAGTCCTCATGAGTCACAATCACCTACACACACACACACACACACACACACACACACACACACACACACACCTCACTGTTAGTCTGCTTTTGATTCAATGAAAGAACTCATAAACGTTCTGAAGTATTTAATGGAGCAGCAGTTTGTCCCTTGCTCATCACATTGACACAGAAAGGGAGTTCAACCTTCAAATGGTAGTCTTGTTGTCCATTTTTGACCATCACATTTCTAAATTATTGATTATTTACTGTTTTACAAAAGAAGAAACTCACTTCGTAAAATTACATTTCTGTCCAGAGAGAAAAGGAGCAGCAGCAAGTTTTGCTGTTATTTGAAAGGTGTAAAGGTCATTTTGAAAAAGGAGAGGAGAAGTCAAACAATGCACAGGTAACAGGTACCTCTGTCCAAACATGAGCGTTGACTTGGTTTCGGCCTCGTTGTAGACAGACGGCGAGCAGCAGATGATGATGGTGGTGCGGCAGTTTCCCCCCAGAGAGTCCTGCAGGATCCGAGTCATCTTACTGTCTCTGTACGGCACATGCGTTTTCTAAAAATAAAAATATAAGTCTCATGAAGCGCATTGGAAGAAGTATTCAGATCTTGTCTTTAAAAAGTGTTTTATACTCTTACTGTTCCCTCAGCCAGAGCTGAAATGACGTTTCCAAGCGCTGACAGCGATTTGTTGATGTTCTTCGCCTCGTCCAGCACAGCTCCCTCCGCTCCCGTCTTACTGACCTGTTCAAACCAATAAAACAGGTATCACATCAACCCTTTAATTCATAACACGTCAAGAGTTCTCATCACACTCCATCACCATTACCTTCTCGCTGCCCGCCAGGTCCACCAGGTAGAGCTTCCCCGACAGCTTCTTCTCCGTCTCCATGTTTTCCTGCTTGATGTTGATGAGGAAGATGCTGTGGCTGCGAGAGCTGTGCTCGTTCATGTCTAGAAAACAAGGATTTTGCTTAATATTAAACATATGAGACAAAGCAATGTAAAGGATTTTAAATGACTCAGACTGTAAATACATTATAAATACTGTGGACAGATTGATGTTAAAACACAGAGATACTCACTAGTCACTGCCACATGGCGGTTTGATTTGCCCTCATCGATGACGTCCATCACCTCCTCTGGGCTCGACACAAAGCGCTCAGTACACCCCTGATACACAGAGTGGATTTAGTTGTTACACTGGAGTAATGTCACCCTTAGAGAGATCAGGAATCTGACTTTGTTTAAATTTGCCCCAAAAGCTACATGGAAGCAAAATGAATTTCTATGTATGACCAGCGAACATTAACTGAGGTAGAGGTTCCTGACCTTGACATAGGGCACTCTGTTTTTGTCTTCATGCACAGAGAGGTTGGTCTTCGACACTTGAAACAAAGCAAAGCACACCACAGTCACGTGCTGGTTCAAATAAAACACTCCAATAATCCCCTTAATTCACTTTAAATGTTGTACATTTCAGAACAACGATTCGTCTTACCGTCCAGCAGATCTCTGATCTTGTCCAAGTAGATTTCAAAATAGGAAACCTGAAACATACAACAGCAGATTAGGTCCTGGCATATGCAAAATAAATATAGCTAAAACCAAATTAACATAATCCAATACCCATGTTTACTTTATGCACCATCTTCAGCTATGTAGATGTCTCTGTCCCAGCCTACAGTTTGTGTGTTTGAACCTCTTTTAACCACAGCAGATTGGGTCCAGGTGTATGTGAACAATTAAAAAATAAGGAACCAGCAGGTTGCAGCTGATACTAGAACAAACTGCTAAACATACAGGAAACAAAACGTGAAACTTCTCTGGAATTATGAAGTCATAAATTTGCTCGAACATCAGAATGATTATTTTGTCTTCTAGGAGACATATCTCAGAGAATATATGTTTAATTTCTACGTGTAAAGTCACTAGTTTTTCTGTGATTTTTGTCTTTACCTCAGCTTTGAGCTTTCTGTTCTTTTCTAAGGTTTGCACAGTGACCAATGTTGTTACTTCTTTACCTTGATGTGGAACTCCAGGTTCTCGTCCATGGAGTAGATGTGGTCGAAGATGTCGTGGGCGATGCGAGGGATGATTCCCATCAGCTGGGGGTCGTGCAGTTTGCCCTGAACACAATTAGCGGACATTAAGCAGATTTTCTAATGCTTTGAAAAGTATGAATTTTGAAACTTCTTCAGAGGAGTTTAGAGAGAAATGGCAGAGTTCAAAGGTGTGGAGTAATGTAGATGCAGAGAAGAAGAAGGTTTATCATCAAAGCTCTCATCGGGGATTATAAAGAGGCTTCAGGCTGCTGTCTCGGTGGATAAGTCTCCTATCAGACGTAATATATACGTAGGATAAATGATACTGGATGCTGGAGAGTCTGATTCTACTTTTGAACTTGAAATCTAATTTGCAAAAACTGTCTTTGAAACTGGGTAAACGTGGAGATCAAAGCTGAGTCATCGTACGATCTTGATTGGATTTAGTGTTGGTGTTAAATCTGTTACATAATGCCTGCTGTGCTCTGATCCTCTGACTGCAGAATAAAGGTCTAATAAAGGTCAGTGCCGGTCGTTATGAAGTATTCATCCACAGAAGCTGCAAGGGAGGTGAAGAAGCATGACTGCCACATTATATCAAAGTACTGTTACACGAGCATAAATGTGTTTCCTGACCTTCAATTCTACAAGTGAACACAAAGATTTAATTTAATCTAATTAAGTACGTGGTCCTCTAAAGTCAAAGTCAACCCCAAGTCATCAAATAAAGTGTCAAATCTACAAATCCAGAAAGTCTCAGGTCCTTGAATCAAGTTACAGGCAAGTCCAGGGGGGGGGTTAAGTAAGTGTTGAGCAGATATACGATAGATTACAGTTACATAAGAACAATGTTACATCACTTTCATTTCCAGCACGTTTCAACCTTCGTACCTTTAACAATCTGTTTGGCACACTGGTCATACACTTGTTCCTGCGACGTGTTGGGGGGCAGCACTCGGTCGAACACGTACGGTTTAGCCTGTTCCAAAACCAACACAGGACATCATTAAAAAGATACTGCAATGTGTTACATCTTTTAAAAAAAAAAAACATGCTTAAATGGTAAATATCTGAAATAGCTTTTCTTTTGTCAGATTGTTCTAATCAATAAGACATAACGACCTGAAACAAGGCAGAGAGGGAACAATTTCAGCACTACAGTTGGAATAAATCACACAAATTTGAAACCAAATAATGATATAAAAACATAGATAATACTTAATCAACATGGCACCTATCATTGATTTAAAATCCCTATTTTACTGCCTTTTCTTTGACTATTTCAGAACATAATTTGAAATACTGATATACTTGATCGACTGCCCGTTTCTCACACTCTGGTGTCATTAAACTAGACGTCCTAAATGCTCCAACAGCTTCCAGGACCCCCCCAGTCGGACCATCCATCACTCCTCTTGCCCTTGTCAAACTCATGACTCCGTCTCTCATGGGGATTTGAAAGCAGCATCCCTCATGCAAAAAGCGCTCTCAGCACTATAAGGAGCAACAGCAGCACTCTGAATCCGTCTGAACCTCCAAGATGAAGAAGCAAAAACTACTGACTAGAGCAGAATGGGAGGCTACGGCTTCAGTAATGTGTTTCTGCAGTTTGATGGATGGTAGGAGTTAATATTAGGATATAATGCAACAGAAGGAATGGTGCAGGGTGACTGATCTGCATCAATATTCTGTAAAAGGTTAATGTCTCGTCGTCTGTTCGGTGGCATAGAAATTTCAGTAAGTAATTTTACAGAGGTTACAGATTAGGTTGACAAATTGTAGGTGTCAAACTCAATCAACAATTTCTGTTTTTATGCAATGATTTTTCTTTTCTTTGATGACAGGTAGGAAAAAACTAAATCTAAGACTTCTCAGGCAACAGACAAATCTAACCAAAAAGACAAATGATAAATTTTGGGGCGAGGAGGGGGAACTGACGAGAAATAAACCTGACTTCAAGTACATCCATGTAAAGACAAAACAACTTGTTCAGACTGGTCTCTCTGTTCCTTGGAGAAATTAAATAAAATAAGATTTAGCTGGCGTATATAGTGCATCGAGTTCTTGCAGTAAGTGTGAGGTGTTCTTTGTTAGCTCCACCCACCATGGATTCCCAAGAGTCGGAAACAAACACAAGGCCTTATTGATGTCCTCGCCACACTGCACACAAAAGGCAGCGTTGTTTCTAGATCTACACACTGAATGAAGATGAGGCCTCCTGAATCAGCACATTTAAAACAGGGCTGAGTCACTGTAGGTGTAACCTTTGACTTCTGAACAGCTTATATAAACTTACACCCCTAAGTGGACTTTTTTTAAACACATTATTCAAATGCATGACAACAGAGCTTGCTCCTGACTGGCTCATTAAGAATCACTAAATACTGAAAAATACACGTTTATTCTGCTTCTATGTTACCTCTTTTTTTCAACATCATCATGGTGTTGTTGTGATTAAACAAGTACAAGAAATACTTTATAATTGAGCAGCAGAATAGAAAAACACAAAGAGATGTTTTGTTCGTCTATGCAGAGTTCACATTATTTACATATTTTATGAACAAGCAGAAGCCTGTCATGCTGCAGTAGAACTTAATGTAGCTATTTTTAGAATGAGATTTAAAGTGTTGTAACGCATGTTTTGCATCGTTTATGAAAGTTGCTGTTTTAAGGTTGCTTTCCTAAAACTGTTAATGCTGCTGTAACCTTTCTGTAGTTGTACCTAGTACAATTTAAGCCTTTATATAGTATTATATGAATAAGCCTATACATGCAGTTTCTAGATTCAATTTTTTTGTGTAATACTACATGAAATAAATGTGCTGCTGCTATGATGAGCATCTAAAATCTACCAAAGGACTATATTGTTATTGCGCAACTGGCATTCTCATCTCTCTGCAGAGCTCCAGGTGACTTTGTTCCTCTAAATCACTGCAGTGTTTGTTTTCTCAGCTCCACACACATGACAACACTAACATGATCACAGCAAACACTGAACACTCAGACTTGCCGTTATGACCACCGTGTCGTCCTCCTTGAATTTGGGGATGTATTTGTCTCCTCGGATTATTTCGGACTCGTTCAGGGGCCTGAAGCGGCACATCACCCTCACCCCGCACTCTGCAGCATCCATCATGTCTGCTGCTGGCTCTGTTTACGCCACCTCTCCAAAAAGATGCAGGTGCAGAAAAAAAATAAACAGGTCCAAAAGGGAGGATCAGGCTATGCTGTGTAGGGTGGTGACCAAACTATGGTTCAGGGACCTCCCCCTGGGCCTGGAAGATGCTCCTTAGGTCCTGGGCCAAGTGAGTTCAAAAATGTACTTTAACATGGACTGAAATGGGAATTAAAGCGGAAAAAAAAAGTCGTGCTTCCTAGTTTCCTCGCAGCAAAGGTATGGAAGCTCCTGCTTTATCCAATGCGCAACGCGTCCTTCAACCAACCCGAAGATCTCCGAGTTTCCTCGGCTGCGCCATGGCCGAACCGGAACCACTGCAGCGCTGCGCCCCTCTGACAAGATCCAGACCTGGGTGAGCAAGCCTCCCCTTCTGCAGCGAGGACACCGACAGTCGTGCAAAAACACCCGCGGAATAATCTCAGTTCATGAGTCTTAGGCGGGGGCGGACTCGGTGGGAGCAGCCCGGTTCGCAGAGGGAGAGCTCGGAGAGGATGCGCAGGGAGAGCCGCATCGTCCTGTCTTGCAATAAAAGCGCGCACCCTGCACGATGCTGCGGCGCGTGCCCGCTCCCTGCATCAGCACCACCATCACAAACACGAATTCATCTGTTTCCAAAAGCTACTTTATCCCCTTATTTCACTTGATTTCAAGATATACTCTTAACTTGTTCACTCTACTACAGCTTTACACAGCTAAAGGCCATAATATCGTTAAGTTGTAGACTAATGACAGCCCACAAAGTAGCGTTAAATGATCTTAATTAGCCGTAGCTTTATCATTTGTAACATTATATCATAGCCTACTTAGTTTATCAAAATACTCTTAATTTACTGGACATATATATTTTTTTATGAGAAAGTAGCCTTTGCTTATATAAAGTTAAAAAGCCTTAAAGCAATGCCATTGAAGATTATTTAATGCAAAATGTCTAAATTACCTGCCAGTTTCATAGAAAGTTGTTTCTCCTTCAGAGCACTTCCGGTTGCTAAACCAGCTGCAAAGAGCTAACTAGTGTTAGACCGATAAAACTAACTTAACATTCAATGTTTTGTCGTTATAAAAGCTGATTTAGAAACAAGAAGATGTAGGCAACTGTTTAGGAAACATGTCATACTAAAAGACCAAATTAATGTTCACTTTGAGGACTAAAACCGGGCGTTTAAAGGATAGCTCAGGTCAACTGGTTCACTTAGGTGTGACGGCTTTGTTTGTCAACTGTACGGTGGCTGGGAGGGGCAAATCAAAATTACAAAGTGCGAAACACTTGTGCAAAGCTTGAGGCAAAAAGTTACACTGTGGAAAACATTTTCACATTTAAAACAAGACTCCTAAAGCAAAGCACATTTAAACAAACTTACATTTTAGATAAGAAATGTACAAGATGTGAAACACTTTCACAAGCACTGAGACACATTTACAAGTGTCAGAAATGTGTCTCAGTGCTCCACAATGTTTTGTAAATGTAGGCCTACATTAGTTTTGTCCTTGGTAAAGTGTCCAGCCGTCTTACTAGTGAGCCCCTTAAGTCCCCAAAAGTGATTATTTTTTATCATGTTTTGGGCACAAGATAATAATTGTTGCACACGTAAGATGCATATTTGGTTACTTTTAGGACTTCAGGGGCTCCGTCTCAGTGCTCCACAATGTTTTGTAAATGTAGGCCTACATTAGTTTTGTCCTTGGTAAAAGTGTCCAGCCATCTTACTAGTGAGCCCCTTAAGTCCCCAAAGTGATTATTTTTTATCATGTTTTGGGCACAAGATAATAATTGTTGCACACCGTAAGATGCATATTTGGTTACTTTTAGGGACTTCAGGGGCTCCGTATCATACTGAAATAAATTGAGTTAACTGTAATTAATGTGTGCTTTTTTTTCCCACTAGGGGGCAGTATGCAACAAGAAACTGCATTATATTTACAGTTTTGGTAAGTCAAATCTTTTCACTTCCCTGCTGTTTTTAAACCTCATAATTAAATTAATTGTTAAACCTAATAATAATAATTTAATAAAATAAACTTGATATAATCAGGTAAGAAGAAACAGGGAGCATAAAAACACATTACACAGCATGTTATTCAAGTAAGAGTGACCATGTTTTTAATATCTTAAACATCTGTGCAACATTGTTCAAAATGTTACATCACTGCATGACCTGTAATGTTTCACAATATTTACAAAAAATGCTGCTTACATCAAACCATTAAAAAAAGTCCAAACAATCTCAAAATGATGGACTCTGACAAACTATCCCTAGCCCACATTAATGCAAAAAAGAAAAAGAAACAAGAGCAATCAAGTGCACATCATACTTCACGCGAGTCTATTTTTTGTAAAGTATATATTAGTGAGAAAATATATACTCAATTACAAGTTGTAAAAATAAAATACTGACAATGAAAGGGTGAAAGTGAGTGCAGAAAACAAAGTTCACTAGGGGGGAATTCAAAATCACACTCACGCACCTCAACACACACACAAAAACAGACAGGAGGAGGAAAAAATAGACCGCACAGACCATCTCAAACACAAAAAATGCTTTGAACTCTTGACCACAAATAACATGAAACTGATCAAACAGATCCATAACACATGGGATCCCAACATGACACCGGGGTCCTGCATGTAATTGCACAAAAAACGGGGAAGGGGAGGCAGAATGAACTTTACCGAAAGAGCTCATGAGTTCTCGACAACAAACATCACATTTCTGATTTTCTGACCACAGATTTACGTAAAACCATAAATGTGAGATTCTTAGAGTGTGCAAGCCAAAAAATAGCACAATTTATAGATTTATTGGGAGGACGTTTTTGACAAGTTTTAGCTTACAAAGTATTTGAAGAGACATTTTTAAACGGCTATTGCCTCGTGTTTTAAAGTCTGTTCTTCATCCTTGCACAGCTTGGACATTAAATGCACGGATGTCTTTATAAGCTGCTGTTTGATTTGAAATACTGTTTTTGATACAAATTTAAGACTTTTTTTTTTAAACATTTACGGCATTTTTCAGGTAGCACACAACAACAAAAGGTGAGAATTGCATCCAGATGAGACCTCAATACACGATAACTCAGATTTCAAGTGTTAAAAGTGTGAGCAGACTAAAAATAAAGTTGTTTTACAAGTTCAATATGTAAGTTGTATTAAGTTTCACTACGAGGCTGCGATATGCTTTAATATTAGTGTTAACTGTGAAGAATCTCTCCAGAAAGTAGTGCAGTATTAACTGTTAAACTAATAATCAGTTACTTATTTGAATGCTGATTCTTTTCACTTTAATGTTACTGGAGCTTCGTTTCAGAGGTTTAGTGAGTTAAAGCTTCAAACATAAATTGACTTTTGAGCCTGGTAGCTGGACTTTTGTTTACGTGTAAAAGGTAAAGCTTAAAATAAATTACTACTTCATTGTTTTGAGGTTAGGACTTGTTATAGACATTTTAGAGCATTTTCAGGTCAGAGGAGATGTTGAAAATAGAAAAAAGCTGTTGATCGTTGCCATGGATTTGTATATTGCACTTGATAAATCTGTAGTGATTTCAGGTTGTTTGTTGTTCTCCAGGAGCAGCTGTGTGTGTGTGTTTCACCTCTGTGATCCCAATACTGTTGATTTTAAGACTGATCAAGCGATTCTTTTGCTTTCCGGCAAGTAGTGTTTAAACTGCATTTGTTACCGACACAAATGGTGTCTGCCTTTTTCTGATGTGCATTTTTATAAATAGTACAGTCCTGCAGGCAGACATCTTTTCCTTGAACTTATCCGTAACACGTACTGTAACAAAAAAGAGCCGACCAGCAAGGCTCACTGTAAGAAATAAGTGTTATTGTAATGGTCACTTTTTCAATCAACTGGAACATGAGTGTTTGTAATGGACTCTGAATACATGATCGATTCTTCACTGTGAAAAACAAAAAGAAAAACATACATATACACATATAAGGCTTGAGTTCTCAACTCTTGGTAGTATTATTGCCATCTAGCATATTTGTAAAGCTTAAAATAAATATGGAGTACTGTACATAAATAATTTACATCAATATGCAAAACAAAAAAGACAAATCAAATGATTTCAAAAAGGCCCCTAAATGTGAGAAATACTTCCGCTGCTGTTGAGTTAGTGTTCGTCATGATATCTAGACTCTGCCTCTGACATCGCTGACTTTACCTAAAGCTAGAGTCGTGGAGAAAAAAGGACTACAGTCATGGAGGAAAAACACTGTACAGACGGGCATGAGAACATAATGACAGAACTGACTGAAGGAAAAATCCACCCAAAGACACTCTGAGTAGTGAGCTGATGCTGCATTCAGGGTTTTTAAATGTGAACATGATGCCATGTTAAGTTTGAATATGTTCCAGTTATTTTATATCTAGTAAAGTTTAGTCTAATTCTTCAAACATCAGTTTGTCCTGGTATTTAAAAATACTAACGATGAGATAATAGATGAAGTCCTGACACATATTTCTGTACCTTAAGGTGCAGAACTCCATCAGAGGGAACTGCAGCTACAAGCCAAGAGCTACTGAGGTCTAGTAAACGGGATGTGATGACATGTCTGTTAGTCAACAATCAGCTTTGTCAAGTAAGAAGAGTTCTGAAATATCAAGTCAATGACAAACACTTAATTGTGATTATTGGCTAGCTGCATTAACAGTAAACAAAGTCACTTGAATGCATGTATAATTGTAAAAACTGAGCTGCAACCAGTGATTGTTATCATGAATCAACCTGCTGGTTTGTCTTTAATTATTCAATGATTTAGGTGATAACTTAAGGTTTTCAAATGCAAGAAATTATGAAGAAATGTCCTTGGGGTGGAGGACCTGAAACCAGAGAAAGTTTAGCATAACGCTGTTTTTAAAATAAGAAATATCTGAGTTGCCGCTGCAGATTGATTTAATGGATTTAACTCCTGATGCTTCTTTAGAGTTGTACAAAGTTAATTTGGGAAAATCTGTCTTGACTCGGACGTAAAAACAAACATGTCATAGCTATAAATGAAAAGCTCCTGAGATGAACATCACAAAACTTCAAAGTGCCTGCAGGTGGATTTTTTCTCCTAAAATGGCAGATAAACCGACTTTCTTTCATCTACCAGTCACCATGCTTTGAAACAAAAATCATCATCTGCTAACCAGCATTTTAGCGCTCAAGCTGATCTCAGAATATCATGATTCTCCTGTCTTAGTTAATGCTGGAGCAGATGAAGATTTACCAACATTCGTCCGGCCGATGGAAGCTGCTTTAGAGGAACACTGAACACTTTCTGCTGGTAAAGTTCATTCTGTTTTTCTTTTTTTTTTTAAATCCAAAACAAACGAACACTTGAACTGGCGTGAAGTGACCTTCGTAATGGAGAACTCATATACTCATGCCTGTTCCACTGCTGTTCCTTTACAAAACTAATGAAAGGAAAAATAAACAGCACGTCTTACAGTTCATCATATAAAAGCTTTAGGCTGTATTCTTATTTATCCTATGCATGCGGCCGTATACAACCGCATTTCTGAATAGAAACCAAGACATTGGTACACTTCTGCT